TGTAACGAGATCTTTGGTTTCACCAACTTTAAACCTCGGATTGAATTCAAACTTCGGACACTTATTAAGAGCTTATCACTATTAAATCACAAACACTTCAAGAACAATAAAATGTTTAATTAAAACTTGGATATACAATCTTGCAGTAGAAATTGAAGAAAGAACGCCAACCAAGCCAACTTAAAGGCCAAAGTCCTGAGAATACATTAAAATTAGCTAAGGCAGAAAAATGACACCGTTCAACATAGCTAAGCGACAGCACAACAATCCCACTTACCTTTTTACGAAATTGAAAGAAATTACCTTTGTACGAGTATATATAAATAAATAAGTGTAAAATAATAAAATGTAGATAATATTAAAGTGTGTAAATTAGGTGTGTGAGAATAGTGTAAGGACCTATGACAATACAACAAGTTTGTCAGAATATCCTGATCAGGATCTTAAGGATTAACGGCTAACTCCATACCTAAAATACGGTAGTATCTTTTGCCACGTAGTTTTTTCGTCTTAATGAGAAAATTATCATCATTAATGACTAAAAAAGCAAAAATAAATTATAATACAAAAAAAAGAAGAAAACACGTTTCTGATAAATTCACGATTTCAAGATATTTTATAATTTGATAACTTTTACCTTTTTCTCTCGGAGAACCGGTTTACCCACTAAACCCCGTGGCGGCCTACCTCGGCAGTCAGGAGGAGCTCCAGGAACGCATCGGCGGCTTCTGGAGTCCTCCCTGCCCGTACCCCATGTTTGAGGCTCATCTTGGGGCGGGTGGCTGCCGCGACATGGAAGACAGCACCCGGGCCATCCGTATGGCCGTCAACCGCTGCAAGCCTCTGAGTAGAGCCCCGCAGCGGGATGCACCCGCCGAGTCTTAAGCCCAGACGGGTACCCCATAGAGGACCATGGATCGCACGACGCCCTGGTAGAGGCGGCGAATTTCTTAACGTGGTCCCCCGAGATTGGGCAGCAGGCGATGCAGCGCACTCGCTACCCCCCGCACTCGGGGGACTAATCGCTCGAAATGCTGAAATTTTACCGACTGTCCAGGATGAGGCCTAAGTACTTCATGTACCGGCCCACCTGGACCTCGGCGTCACCAACCCGGAGGCTTGAGCTGGGCGGTTCCTAGCGCTTGCATAGGCCATGGAACCATATCGCCTCAGTTTTCTTAGGCGCCACCCTCAGACCCAGCTCATGAATCTTTCCCAAGACAGAAGCCACCCCCTGCTCGGCAAGCCGAAGTACCTCATCGAAGTGTGACCTTCTAGCCGGTATTAAAATGTCGTCAGCATAGCAAACGACACAGAGGGCAGACTGGTGCGAAGGACCACATCATATGCGAGGTTCCATAATAAAGGGCCCAAAACCGAGCCCTCGGGAACCCCACAGCACACCTCTCTCCGATTTTCCACCCCGTTCCGACCGATAAACTTTACCGTCCTGTCCTGTCCTGTCCAGATAGGCCCCAATGACGGCCCGCGGGTAGAGCGGCACCTCATGAAATTCAAGGGCCGCCCTTATCGCCTGCTAGGGGAGGGTGCCGTTGACGATATCAAGGCTAACCACCAATGCCACCCCCCCTGATCGGACTGCCGACTCCGACATGGAGCGAACGCACCTGACAGTGTCTGCTGTCGAACGTCCCTGTCGGAATCCAAACCAGTAGTCCGACAAATCAGGGCCCACTCGCGACAGGTGCTCGCCGATACGATCGGAGATAACCCTTTCAAAGAGTTTCCCCTACTCGTTCAGCAGACATATCGGTCGGAACTTAACGTTTACCCATGTCGGTCAATAAAATATTTTTCAACAATTGAGATTTAGCACCCTAAACATTTTTACAATAAAATGATTTATCTTTTTGGACATATACAAAATTATTTTCTACTTTTCAATTCGGGCGGTTACAAAAGCATATTTTTTTAGATTTTTTAAACTATAATTTATTAATTATAAGATTTTTAAGCTCAGGCTAGATACATTTAAAAAATCTTTCAAAAGATTGTGAGTGACGTTACTTTTTCTTTCCTGGCTGATTTATGTATTTATTAAGTAAACCAATAATTACTAAATATTATTATTACATAAAATTAACTATGTGTGAGTAACACCACACATGCACTATGAATTATGATTAAAATTTATTAAATACAAATATTCTATTAACAAATCAATCAGTACGCTGAAGTGGAAGTGGGCCGGTCATGTCTCCAAGCGGACTGATGATGGCTGGAGCCGAGATGTGCTAGATTCATCATCATCAACAGTCTTTAACAGTCCACTGCTGGACATAGGCCTCTCCTTGGAAAGGAAGTTTTAACCTACTATACCACGCATGCCAAACAGGTGGGTATTTCAAGTTTTCCTTCTCGTTGCAGTACTATTGTCCTGCGTAGTTTGCTCCCTTAGTCACCTTTTATAAAATCCACGGAATGTATAGGAACTGTCTAAGACCGGGACGGCTTGCACCCCTGAAGAAGGCCTTCATTTAGCAGTAGGCGGAAATAAGCTGGCTGATGAATAATAACATTTTCGGACATAATTATAATATTTCGGACATAGTATTTCGGACATCTGACATAACGCCATTTAGTTTCAAACTAATCAGAGCTGATACTATGAAAGCTGGATTGACTGATAGAATACTTTTATATTTTTTTCTTTTTGTAAATACGTACATATTAAACATAGAAAACACCCAAACTCCGAAACAAATATTTGCAGATCATGCAAACATTTGTTCCGACCCGGGTATCGAGTATTCTAGATTGGCAGCCGCACATAATAACAAAAAGTAAATGTTAACTGAAAAATAAATAAGTTCGTAAGTTAATTTTGATAATATTCGACTTAAAGAAATCGATTACACGATCGTCATCATCTCGTTTTTAACTCCGTCAAAGTACAGACGCCGTGTTTCGCTGTAGAGAAAGAAAAATTTTAATTGTTAACCATATGTATAATATATTTGCCATCCACACGTTCGTAATGGCTTATTGACACTAGTCAAATTTATCACCTAAGCATATGGAGATAGGTAGGTACGCGGCGGAATTCTCTGTACCCCTTTTTAACTGCATGACTGCACGGATGGCGTAATGTTTTCAGCGGTCACTTCGCCGCTTCCTGCTGCGCTGGGTGTTGTGGGTTCGATCCCCATATAGGACAACCCTTTCTGTGAGCCACAAATTGTTGCTCTGGGTCTGGGTATTCTTTGTGTCCGTTTCAGGTGTGTTTGTCAAGTCCCCCGCGACACAGGAATATATTCCTAAAGCGGGAGTTGTCTTAAAAAAAATCAAATGTGGCGGACGGAAGAATATCACATTTGGCATATTTAAAGTGTGCGTGTGAAAGAGGTGCAAAATGCCAAACATCTATATAGTTCCAATAGTCATGTCTTCAACCGGAATAATACCTAACCACTTTCAGGGTGATTTACAAAACCAAAACGACTACAATAACAAATTATTTGATGATATTATAACTATCCAGATATTTTTATTCTTTAATTACTTAATTAATGAGAAGATGAAAGCTTAGACAACAAATAGACTACCCGAAATATTTAATTTACGTAGTCAAGTTGCGGGCACCAGATTCTAAAAGCATAAAATCACTGTTTCTATCGACACGTAGAAAGAAACGCTCATTCCTGGTTTATTGCTTACTTTAGTAAAACACAGTTCAAAAATATACAAATGTAGGTAGGTATTAAAGTTATATGGTCTGAATCATCATATAATGAAATAAGTCAAAGAATAAAAGATAAAAAAATATTTATGGGTTTTATTTTTCAAAGATACAAAAGATTGTATTTTTCATTTACTATTTCCAAAACTACACTATTAGCATCATCCATAAGCTATAAAATTCATCAAGTACCATTTGTTTATCATTAAAATAAACTTAACATTGTAGTTAATAGAGACAGACAGACAGACAGACGCACATGTGAAGTGAGTGGGCATAGGTTTTCTATTGGCACGCACATACCCTTTAGGTAGGCATAAGTATTGTGTATAATATTTGCGTAATTAATTAATTATACAAGATTAGTTCATTGTCTAAAACAGTCGGGTGTACACGTCGCAATCATGTTTTGGTATTTATTGCTATTCGTTATATTACTGTGTGCATTACACTTTGTGTTCAACTGTAATTCAAGAGCTCTTCGGATTAGAAAAATACCTGGACCCAAAGAGTATTTTATTTTTGGAGACACCCTTGATATGATGCGTTCTTCAGGTAATCAAATATCACACCATGTAATTACATTTAATTTGTATAAAATACCAATAACAATAATTTGGCATTCTATTTGTCTCTAGTTGGTCTTATGGAACTGGCCAGAGAATTAGCACAAAATAATAAGGGAATTTACAGGATTTGGACATTTCTATTTGGTGCTGTTAATATTTACAATACGAAAGATGTGGAGGTATGTTTTTATTTTGTAATCACGTAATGAGATTAGATGCTCAACTTCAGCACGTGGTTTCTAGGGTATGATTTTTAACAAATGTATCTATATACTTGATTTTTATAGCTTAATTTGTAGCCTTGTTTGTCTGACTGATAACAGGCTAATATTTTCATATAAATATGACACATATATTTAAAAATTTATACGCCTGCCTCTGTGGTGCATACACAACTGCTGTGCTGAGGTTTTGGGTTCGATTCCCGGGTTGGACCGAATGTTTTTATAATTTTAAATATTTGTTTCGGACTTTGGGTATCTTCTATGTATGATATGGATGGATTAACAGAAAAAAGTAAATAAGACAAGCATTCTGTCAGTCAATCTAGTTTTCGTAGTACAAGCTGTGCTTAGTTTGAATCTAGATGGCGTTGTGTCAGTTACCTCGAACTGCTTTTGAACACCAGAGCCCTCGAAATAATAAATACTACTAGATACATTCTCATGATGCTGGGCTTAAAAATAGCTGTTTAAATAGAGAATTCTTTTTCTCAGATAATATTGTCAAGCATGAAACACAACGAAAAAAGTCAGATTTATAAAATGTTGAAGCCCTGGCTTGGTGATGGATTACTTCTTAGTAAAGGTAATATTACACAATAATCGTTATCATTATTCCAGAGGACGGTGACTGTCAAGTTGACGTTGACCTCCGTCATTGACTTTCAAGCAGACCTTGAAATATGTTATTATTTATCATCGTTAAGAAATTTCGTATAACTAAAGTGTAACTACTGAAATACAACTTCTTATATTCAATAAATAGCTATGTAATAAAAATCGATTTTAAATTTTAGTACATAAATGCGTGCTACACGATAAAAAACATGTCGGTACTAAATATTTAAATTATTAAAATAAGCATATCTCTAGTCTTAAAAAGCATTTCTATCAGCTTTTCGTTTTTATTTATTTCGGTACATAACTGTTAAAAACATAAATCAATCTATTCTAACGGTCTGTTTTCGCAACGGGTGGAACACACATCACACACATCACATAGTTTTTGCCGTAACTAGTCACTTTATGGCAATGCTTACGCCTCTGCCTATCCCTTCAGGGCTACAAGGGTGAGCATGTATGTGTGTGTGTGTGTGTGTGTGTGTGTGTGTCTTAGTTATATAAATTCTAAATAATTAGAATTTCTCAGGTTCGAAATGGCAGCACAGGAGAAAAATTTTGACGCCTACTTTCCATTTCAATATTTTACGCCAGTTCAGTTATGTCATAGAGGAGAACTCTCAGCGTTTAGTCAAGACCCTTGCAGAGTACGCAGGAACGCCAATAGACATTGCCCCAATTCTCTCAGATTTCACTCTCCAAGCTATATGTGGTACGTACTCGTATTTTATGCTTATTAATATAACAGTCGTTTATTTCTAGACATACAGTAAACATATCGCCTCATTCATTACGGTGCAGTACAATTAAAATTGTGGTTGGCAAATTATATTCTAGCCTTATTGACTTTATGCCAGAACACTTTGAAGATATTGGGGATACCATAGTTAGTAAAACTAAGTCGAACGGACTACTGAACGAGGAATTCTATTCCTTTTCTGCAGAACGGATGAAGTTTTATTGTCAACAAAAGATCGTTTCATTCATTAGATTATTTTATTCTGGTGAAAGAAATTCTATTAAAGTGTTTATTGTAGAAGACTATAGTAGACTCATTTATCATATTTTATGTCTATAGATTAACGAGGCAATGTTATACACATAATAATATGTAGGTACAGATATTTAGTGGAACAGTAAATTCATCCTATATTATCAAGGGCCACTTGTATCGCTCTCCGGTCGTTCGAAGATGCGAGACGATAAATTATTTTATTTCTGGATACTATCTCGGTTCAGAGTCCTGAAATTTTTATAACAGAAAAAAATACAAGTAAATCAACTTTCCCAACATTGTTTCACATCACACATCAGCAGCCTATACTAGTCCACTGCTGGACATAGACCTCTCCTTAGAAAGGAGACATTACATTGTTATTTGTTTCCTTACATTGTTTATGAAATTCAAAATATTTACCAAGTTCGTGTTCCCGGCTAATGATTTGCGAGGACCTAACAAGACTGTCTCAATTTTATGCCACTGCTTAATTTCTTCTACTTAGCATAAAGTATAAAACGGCGAAAGGTTAATCTCTAAAATACCCCAGAGACGAGGATAGTGAAAGAAATCATCGATTGTTAAAATGTTTCCATGAAACAGATCATTGCGTAATAAATAATAAAACTATATATTAACTAACTATTGTTAGATAATGATGATGGTGCGGAGAATGATCCTGGTAAGATTTTTATAACAATGAAATTTAAGTATGATGCTGTATATGCGATTTAGCATGATGAATCGAAATAAACTGAACTAAACCTTAATTTTCGGCCGTATAAGATGGTGTTTTTCCTTCAAATTGATTATGCATGAATAGGAAGTATACCTACCAACCTACTAAATAAAATGAGTTTTAAGTCAAACATTACAACCAAATCGATAACCTCTTTTTTTTGAGAGTCGTTTATCATATTCATGTACTTCTTAAACAATAGATAAAATTTCAGTACAAGACTACGAGTAGTATAAATATAGAGTTATCTACAAAAGAACACACATTTAAAAAAATTACATAATAATATGATCGTTACGAGTGTTATCTTAAATTTCAGAAACCGCAATGGGAAGTCAGTTGAACGAGCACGCTTCTGCAAAATCTTATAAAGACGCCATTTGTGATATGGGATATATATTTTATAAAAGATTTTCTCACATCTATTATTTTATTGATTTCGTATTCAATATTTCACCACTCGGTAGGAAACAGAAACAATATCTTGAAATCGTACATGGTTTTACTAAGAGAGTGATAAAAGAGAGAAAAGAATATAGAGAGAAAAACAAGATTGCGGATGATGATATAGATATGAATGAAGTGACTTATGTGTATAGTAAAAAGAAAAGAACGGCAATGTTAGATCTTCTTATACAAGCTGAAAAAGAAGGCCAGATCGACGAAACTGGTATTCAAGAAGAAGTAGATACATTCATGTTTGAAGTACGTAATGCATTTACATAGTTGCATCATCTTGTTGACGTGACGCGTCGCGCCATCATGGTTACGCCTGAATTTAAGTCAGATTTAATATTTAATTTCCTGACAAATGAAAATTCTTTGGGACTCTTACATCCATAAGATAAGAGTATTTTAATCGTCATTAGCGATGTTGAACATCAGACCAACAATTACTTAGATTACGTTAAGCCCTTTCACAAGTGTGATCAGGTATCATTTGGTTTCGATTTCCAAATTTGTTTTTTTTTATGAAATTTTTGTACTGTAAGAATTTCATTTTAGATGAAGTCTGGAAACCTGCCCATTAGACGACCTCGCTTTAATTAGTCGGGACTAGAAATATAACGTCTTATAACTTATAGTATATTAACTATTTTCAGGGCCATGACACCACTGCATCTGGTTTGACATTCTGTTTCATGCTCCTAGCAAATCATGAAGATGCGCAGGTTAGTTTCTCAAAGAAACATTTTGACAAATGTCCTAATAACTGTTTTTTTTTCATGCAAAAGTTATTTTATTATTTTGGTTTATTTTGAAATTTAGACTGTGCCTAAATGTTTTTTTTTCTTCATTTCTATAAAACCTAATATTCCCTACCTAATATTTCTGATGCATCAGAAATATTGCTGGCTTTTCTCGGTGACTTCCTTCTTAGGATTTTGTATTAATGCATTGCAATAGACTCACAGGTGACAGAACACAATTATGGTTTTAGTAAGTTTGATTGTTCTTCAGTAACTTTAGGAATTGTTGTTATATTAATTATGTAACGTGAAAATGGGCTTCGATGAGATTGGCATAACCAGAAATTCGATTTCGGTTAAACCATTTTATTCAAAACTACTTATGTGAGCTATTAGGACAGGGACAGGTCTCTTATATATTGTATATATGTTTCATATGTATCTACTACATTACTGTATAGATTACACACATTCATTAAAATGTAATTGGTCTTGAAAATTAATTATTGTTAAATGCCAAATACATATCATTTTCAAATAATCACAGAAGAAAATTTTCGAAGAATTGATAGAAGTATGCGATGACTCAAAACGCCCCATAACTTTGGAAGACCTGCCAAAATTGAAGTACTTGGAACGTTGCATTAAGGAGTCGTTACGGCTTTATCCTCCGGTGCACTTCATTAGTCGCAATTTAAACGAAAAAGTTACGTTAAGTAAGTAATATGTTTTGTTATTATTATTTTTATTTCTAGAAAAGAAGAGAAGACGTTATGTTAACAACATTAAATTTCCTACTTAGTCTTTAAAACCGTGGCGTTATAACTAGGCGCAATTTACAATTTCGCATACTTTTTTGCCGGCTATTTCATTGCCACAAATTCAGCCCTTAATAAAAAGTCACGGTGGTATGTACCTTTACATTTAAAAAAAATGTATTTAAATGTTGTGCCTGCAATATAAGGCCTTTCTTTATTATTATGTCGATCGACGAACCGGTGAAGTATCAATGCCTCCTACCTGATATTTCTGGAAATAATTCCCTTATTTACTTATTTTATTTTGATCTTATGTACACAATATAAATATACGTATTTATCTACAGAAAAATATAAAAGAATAGTGTGTCCCTTTTTGAGATTTTGAAATTAAATGTCACATGTTTTAGTGAAATATTAGGTGTATACTTAATATTAATTATTGTAAAATGCATTAATTTGTATTTGTAATAAAATGAAACATGTTTTAAAAATTGTATTCCTTCTATTGTAAATATAAGTAAAAGACTTATAAATATAATATTATAAGACCCTTTGTATAATATGTGCGTCATGATACCACATTACACGAAGCATCTATCTATATTTGCTTTAAACTTACTTCGAAATCAGAATAAATACAAAAGATGAACTGGTAAACGAGACCTTTGAAGCAAAGGGCAATAGCTGATAAATAACACAATAAACAAAACTGATATCACATTTTAAATTTTAGGTAATTACGAGATACCAGCAGAAACTTTCTGTCACGTGCACATCTATGATCTTCATCGTCATCCTGATTTATATGAAAATCCCAATGATTTTGATCCTGACCGATTTCTACCAGAGAACTCTGCAGGACGTCATCCATATGCATATATACCTTTTAGTGCCGGTCCTAGGAATTGCATAGGTAAGTGTCAATGCAACCAGATCATCATCATCATCAATCATCATCGTTAACTAACATAACAAAAAAAAAACCATACTAATCTTATAAATCCGAAAGTAACTCAGTCTATCTGTCTGTTACGCTTTCACGTCCAAACCGATGAACCGGTTTTGACAAAAAATTTCATGGATATACTTTGATTCTTAGGAAAGGACATAGGTTGGGACATAGGCATTTTTACCGCGATTACCGACACGGAGTCACGGGCATTAGTTAGTAAATATCAATATGCACCTCGCTACTTCTACAATGATTTATTTATTTATTACTTACTAATCAAATACTCTTTAGGGTTCCGTACCTCAAAAGGTAAAAAAGGAGCCCTTATGAGATCACTTTCTTGTCCGTCTGTCCGTGTGTCCGTGTGTCACCACCGGATTTGTCAGGAGCGGGTAGACCTAGCAAGTTGAAATTTATACCAGATACTGAGGTCTATGGTCCCTATTAGATGTATAAAAATCAAGGTCCTGAGTCAACACAATAAAAAGATATGGACAAATTTCGATTTTCGCGAAAACTCGTAAGTACCAAAATGTACCTTAATTATCATTTTTTTTTATTTTTCAGAAATTTCTCTTTACTTGTGCTCTAAGACCTTGCTTTTAACCAAAATTGTCAATTCTAGGTCAACCAGAAGTACCCCATAGCTTTTGGGTCGAAACCCTATTATATATGGTAGTTCCCGTTGAGCTAGAAGCACGAAATTTGTCAAAAAGAAACGTCTTACGGCACAAATAAAGGAATAATTTCAAAAAATAAAAAAAAGGTGAAAATTAAGATAAATTTTGGTACTTACAATATTTTGCGAAAATCTACGTAAAATCTGAGTAGGTACGGAACCCTCGGCGCACGAGTTCGACTCGTACCTGACCGGTTTTTTTTTCTCTTATTACTTGTACGGTTTGTACTTAAATCGAAGAACGCCATCTAGTGACAACCCTATAACTCTATGCAAATTGTGAGTAAGTAGTTAATGTTACATCGAATACTCTTACATATAAATAATTAATGATTTATACCTAGATTGTAGACTTCAACTACGAAAAAAATACAAAAAAATCAGTTCCTTTACAATACACCAAGGCACGGTGCAATGGTAAATAAGGTTAAAGCGGTCAAGACTCAAAATAACTACAATATTGTACTCGTTGAAGATTTAAATATGAAGTATTTATGTTTATGAAATTTTATTGTTATCGTACTTATAGTTTGCAAATTTTGCTGACTTATCTTCACATTAAAAATAACGTATCCTTTACAGTATAAATGCGTAGCAAATGTTCATTTAATCTTTATGTTAAACATTATAAATAATATATATATATATAAATTATGATTTATATCGCTGTTAAGGTCAAAAGTTCGCCATGATGGAGATGAAGGTGGCTGTTGCAAGAGTATTACGTGAATTTGAGTTGAAGCCTGTCACGCGTCCGTCTGACATCAAGCTAATAACTGACTTAATACTAAGAAATGATGGCCCCGTCGAAGTCACCTTCGTCAAGAGGTTACAGACCTAGAAGTGGAGAATCTGGAAGCCTACATTTTGATAAAATTTTACATAATATAGTTGTAAAATTTCCTGTTTTATCACTATCATCTTTAGTTTTATCTTTTGATCTCATAAATGCAAAATGTATCACTGTAATCATGGTTAAATTATGTATATACTAACAACATATTAACAGTAATTGAAATATAATATTTATAAATATACCACGCCCTCACAGAAAACCAGTGTTGGGAAATTCTTTTGTTACTCTTCACAGAGTGAGTGGTGGTTGTGGAGCCCAAACCCTCTGCCTCCTCCTGATTCTGGAGAGGGGTTTAAAGGGCGGCAATGCTCTTGTGACCCTTTATTGGCAGGTGTCCAATGACGGCGCTAGTCCATTACCACAAGGTGATCCGTCTGCTCACCATTAAAAAGAACATTGTCATTTTATTAATGATTATGAAGGCGCCAACCGCTCGCAAAAGTCCGACGCCCATGGTGACCCGACGATACTGTTACAGAAGACTCATATTATTGCTTTATTGACAAATTAAATCTTGTATCTTGCAAACATGTAGTTGTGCATCCTTACTCATATTATAAATGCGAAAGTGTGTCTCACTGTCAGTCTATTTGTCTCTCTCTTACCTCTTCAGGCTTAAACCGCCGAAACAATTTAGATGAAATTTAGTATAGAGCTAGTTTGAGCCCCTGGAAAAGACATAGGATAGTTTCTATCCCAGAAATCATCCTTTAAGGGGGTGAAAAGGGCGGTCTGACGCAAGCCTACTGCCATCAATGCTTTGGAATTACTGTTCGTCTAGTGGTTAACAACCCTGTTTGGTAAGACAGAGGTCGTGGGTTCGATTCCCATCTAGTATAAAAATTCTGTGATGAACTGTCATTTGTTCTGTCTGGTTGTAATTTATCTATAATATGTGTGCTAGACTTAGTTTTCTTTTATAAGTTCTTTTTCGGACATCTGACACAACACCATCTTGTTTCAAACTAACCAGAGCTTGTACTATGAAAGCTAAATTGACTGATAGAATACTCATATACTTATTTCTTGTAAATACATAGGTACATATAATACATAGAAAACACCTCAACCCGGAAGCAAATATTTGTAGATCATACAAACCTTTACGAGGTCATACTAACCATCATACGAGATCATACCAATCATACGAGACTTTTCACAATACACAGTTGTTTACACAATACTGTCAAATCATTTTTTTTTGTTATAAGACATCAAAATTTAGACGCCTGCGTTTCTACATATAGCAAACGTTTTGATTGATGTGTACTTGGATTTAACTTTATTTTATATGTAGACTAAACATAACATTTGTCGCAACTTTTAGAAACTTCGACTATGCTGAGAATCTGTAGTACATTTTCAGTATATCGGCCATACCAAGCGTTACGAAGCTAAATACGAACGAGTGCCTGTGTTCTAATAGTTCCCAAGTAGATGTAGGTACAAAAAAACGATAAAGCGTTTTCTTTAAACTTGAAAATTACTTAAAATCATACTTTGTCTCAGTAAACTATGGTGATAACTAAAAGAAAAACAATGCCCCAATCTGGGTTTTGCTGATCCAGGTTTTTTTGTATCAACAGACGCTGATGCTGAAATAATAAATAACTGAAATAAAACATATCTAACTATAAAATTATTAGCAAATGCGACACTCTTTTACATAAAACACATTTTTTAATAAAAACGAATAGCTTATAATAACTGAAAGCTAAACAAGTTTCGCTGGTGAAACTCGCTGTGGAGATGAAAGCAATCTCTGAGCTAGTGCAGAAAATTCTTTACAGGTAGTTTGCTACCAGTCAGGCCTTTAACGAACACGTTAAGACTTCATATGAGTATTAAAAATTAGCATCGATTTCTGCTGATACTGATATTAAAACAATGCTGATGATTACATTTATCGTATAGCTAAACTAAGACTAAAAAGACGTAGTGATAAAATATAGATAGTTGAAATCGAAAAGCAAAGAAAAAGCATAGAATAAATTCTGTATATATATATATATATATTCAAAATTTGAACTAAATTTGTCGTTTTGCCTATCTACAGTGCCCGGAATGAAACCATTGACATTCACGACTATGTGTAAATTTTAATTATTGCACACCTAGACCAGAATTTATGACTTTTTTTGCTGTTTGGTTTTTCAGGGCACTGTTTTTGACAGATCACGCGTGATTCGTGCCGTGTGTCAAAATTCAAGTTGTGTAGTTTTCATTGCCATTTCATTATGGTAAGACTTACAACGAACAACGCTTACAAATCATTTAATTTTATTATCAACGCGCACTTCGACCATTTAATGGTCGTCATAATCGCCTTACGGAGCAGGCTTTTCCAGCAATGGTGACAATTTTTTTATTATGGTATAACGGGGCAAACGAGCAGACTTGACACCTGATGGTAAGCAACTACCGCAGCCCATGGACACCTGCAACTAAAAAGTCACAAAGGCGCTGCCGCCCTTGGAGTCCCTCTCGCTCGAGTCAGCGGGAGGGGGGTATTGGTTGTGGGCTTCGGTTTCCGCATTTAGACTCAAGAGTGGTCCTTTATGCGTCGAGGATTGGTTAGCTAGGTGAGCCAACCAAGCTCCTTCCAGAAGCGCAGCTCCTCCTGGAGCGTTTACAGGCATCTAGAAGCGATTTTGTATCAGGAATGATACTTGCCCGTTGTGTGGCCACGCCCTCGCATTCCAGGACTACGTGGGCGGCCGTTTCTTCTGCTTCCAGACATCCCCTGCACAGAGGGCTGTCCGTCGCATTGATGATGAATAGGTGTCGGTTCAGGGCTAGGTGTCCTGTTATACCGACAACTATTCGGATTTTCAGTCTGCTAAGACTAATCAATCTGCAGGTGAGTCGTGGTGTTACTTGAGTCAGCACCAGTTGGTGAGTTTTTCCACTTCCGGTTGTGTGCTTCACGAGTCCGTTGCCCGGCCCAGAATCGTATTTGGTTAAACGGTATTGGCAGGAGTATGGTTGGGCCGGTAGCTGGGGTGGCCGAGCCCCTCCTTGCCAACTCATCCACTGGAGGAGTACCACATTTAATGTGGCAAGCTGCTCCAATGATTGATGGCATTTAAAGACAATACTAGAGGTCATTATGTTGCCCTCCAGTGCCTTTAGGACGGCCATGCTGTCGGATAGTATTCGTATGTTATAGTTCCTGATACCCCTTGACATGGCCGTTGTGGCGGCGTAAGTTATTGCCACACATTCGCATTGGAGTATGGATTTTTTTTTTTTTTAACGCGTAGAAACCCCCTCGGGCCGTCACCCCACCGAGGTTTGCGGCGGGGTGGTGTGTCGGAATCGGACCGACTATAACCACACGGTATGCCACTCTGAGCTTGTAATAGAAGGGATCCGGGAACTGCTGTTATTAAGACATGCGGACCCATCCTAGCGCCTGCCTGCAACGGCGCGGGCACTACCTTCGGGTACATTCTCTATTCAGGCCGTCATGGCGGGTGGAGGAGAAAACTCGTCCCGTCCACCTGCAGCCACACTCAGGGCGGCATGAGGCGGTGGTAAGCGCGCCTACGATGTCCGGTTCGCCGGCGACGGATAAGGTCCGTGTGGAGGTTGTCCTCCCGGGCCCCCTCCGCCGCCTCCTTCTGCAAGATGACGTCTTCGCAGAAGGATGCGACCGCAGTAAAACATCTGTCACAAGCGGCCATGGAGCGTATGACGGCCGGTAGCGAGAGATCCCCCCCGATGACTGCAATGAGGCGCCGCCGGGCAAATTGCCAGCGTGTGCTGAGCCGAGTCCTTGCTGCAATCGCAGTGGTGACAGGCGGGAATCAATTCCCTCCTAGCGACCGAGTGCAGGTACTTCCCAAAGTAGCCGTGCCCGGAAAGGACCTGCGTCAGCCGGAAGGAAAGGGTCCCATGCTGCCGCCCTGCCCACTCGACGATGACCGTCTGGAGCGCCTCCACGGCGGCAAAGCCAGTACGTGGAGCCTCCAGCCGGGACGACCAACGAGCTACCGTGGTTCGGCGAGCGGCCTCACGCCACTCGCGTATCTCTTCGGGCGGGGGCCGGGGGCCCGGCACTCAGTCGTCTGCCTCCAAATCCCACGAGGGAGTACCGGCCAATGCGCACGCCGCCTCCGTCGAAACGGTGCGGTAACCGCGTATGTCTCTAACCGCCAATATCCTCTGAGGGCGCCAGAGGCGTGCTCTATTCTGAGCGGTCAGAGCCTCCGCCCACACCGGTGCACCGTACAGTGCCATTGACCGGACAACTCCCGTGTACAGCCGTCTCGTTGCGACGCTGGGTCCACCCAAATTGGGTAAAAGTTGCCCTAAGGCAGATGCAACGCCGACCACCTTTGGAGCTGTTGGCGATGTCCAATGACACCGCATACAGCACGCCGCCACAGCTCACCGCCTCTTTGGTCACGGCCCTCAGGCGCAGCACAGCGCCGACCGTCGAACGCCCGACTCGAAAACCGAATTGGGCGTATTGGAATATGGAACTGTGTTGGCCTAACGCTAGTGATATGTTCATATTTAGATCTTGCGAGAAAACTCCGGCTCCAGTTCCTGACCTAGTCTTGGAACCGTTCGTGTAAATTCGGACTTCGTTAATGCCGGATTGATCTCAGTCATTTTCTTGCATCTGGATGTGGTATCTTTTTATGAAGATGTGGTGTTTTGGGATTCTATCGCATGGGCTGCTATTAGTGGTTCGTATTCCACCAATTGATCCCATAATTTGGAGTGCGATCCCTCGCTTTTATGCCATAGGCCCAGGTGCCTGAATCTAATGATCGTCATGGCTGCCTCCTGCTGTATGAATAAATCCAGTGGGGGCAGACCCAAAGCCATCTCCAGAGCTGCAGTTGGCGTTGTGCGCATACAGCCAGTGACTGCAGAGAATGGGAGTTGCTGGAATTGCTGCAATTTATTTATGACGGTGCTTAGCTCGGTTTTCTGCCACCAGACAACAGCAGCGTTAGTGATTATTGGTCATAGAGTAAGTAAGGGGGAGGGGATTTGGGCGGATTTGGGCTCCGGTAACCTCATTCACTCAGTGAAAGGCAAATTATTATGTAAATTCCACGTTATTGAAACCACCTACTCGTGTCCGTAGAGTGCGTACAGAAGAAAATATTGGTGCTGTAGCCACCAGTGTTGCTGAAGATCGTAATTTGACCATTCGTCGTCGTTCGCTACAACTGGGACTGTGTTATTCCACTACGTGGAAGATTTTACGCAAGGATCTTGGTTTTAAGGCGTATGAGATACAGATCTTTCAAGAAATGAAGCCTGGCTATCTGCCACAGCGTCGTGTTTTTGGTGAATGGGTTTTAGAAAACCTGGAGAGAAAAGATTTGCTTTTTGTCAAAAAAATGTCTTAAGCAATGAAGCACATTTTTGGTTGATCGGATACGTTAATAAACTAATTTGCCGTATTTGGTCCGATGAGCAATACGAAATGTACTGTTTACTGCGGTCTGTGGTCCGGAGGAATCATTGGCTCGTACTTCTTTATAAATGAAGATACCAGTCGATATGCTCAAAAAAGTAACTTAAAGTTGGACTTCACGTATGGATCATCTAAAACGTAGTCGTGGTCAACATTTACATGAAATTATCTTAAAAAGATAAATCTCAAGAATAGATTTTTAAACCCCAATTATATTTTTTTACATTTTTACAATTTTCCTGTGCTTTTTTGTAAATTAAAAAACCAAAACCTTAAAAATCATACATTACTTTATCCAGGTAGTTAATTATAGAATATCAAATTAATCCATGACATCAACGCCTGGTGGGTTATCCACATTCTCTATATATTAATGAACTTATTAAAATGAACCTAAACACTTCCGTAGATATTCATGGGAGAATTTAGATCACATTTTATTGCCTCAGACAACATTGAAGCAGGCTTCAGAGAAGTGTTATGGTTTATTTAAATGAATGTTATTTTTATTTATTTATTTATACTTCCTGCAAATACATTGCATAAGGCGGACTTAATGTCATAGGCATTTTCTTCCAGTCAACCTTGGGGTGATGCAGAGATTTGTGTATGGCAGGTGTATAATGAGATAAATTATTTAAATTGTAGTCGGTTGCAAGATGGATACATATATAGATGCAAATATCATTTATACGTACTATATAATACTATATATATAAAAAAAACATAAACATAAACTTGTATATTATGCTAATTTTACTTGTATATTACATTTTTTATTATTATACCATGACAACTCCTAGCAATAAACTCCGAGCCAACCATTTCACATGAACTGCAGGTTTGTTTTCGATAAACCTAAGTATATCATAAATTTTAAAAAAGGTATGTTAGTTATTTTGGTGATATTGGACCTCTTCAACTCTTCGTTCCTTGTTAAAGCATTTCTACTCTAGACATGACCTCCTTCTTAATGAGATAGCAGAATCGTTTAATCTATATAATAACCTATATTTAAATATACGTAATGTACGAATATAATGTAAATATGTAGAAATATATGTGTATTTGTTTATAAATATGAGCCCTACCTTACATGATATTTATACCACCCAAAAGTTGACTGGAAAAGAGTATCCTGAGCCTAAGTCCGCATACGTACAAAAGTGCATATACAAATAAAAAAATCAATAATTATGGGACTCGAATAGATCAAATTTAATGACCAGAGTAAATTATTATTATTATTTTTTTTGTAAAAAAGACAACTCCCGCAGTAGGAATATATCCTGTGTCGCGGGGGACTTTACAAACATACATGAAACGGACCTTGGTGACTCCTTTGGTGGTTTGTAATGTAAATAACATGATACATTCAACCACCAAGATATGTAACGTAAAATATACTTCGTCAACAACAATTTATCAAAACTATTTTTGCCACAACACGTTCGTTAGATCACACCAGGAAAGTGTAGTCATGTTAATAAAGAATTGGATAACTTGGCTTCAGGAAGGAAAACCTTTGGGATTCCCGATAACATAACATATACCAAACATAAAATACGTTGTTACCTCATCGACTATAAAATGGTTTAAATCATTAAACAGTTAAACACGATAAAATTTGTAATTTCTGACCGGAAATATAATATAGGTAGATAGACATTTGCCAGGTAACTGGAAAACGCAACTAATTTATACATAAAAAGCTGCATCGAAGCTATCTTAGCTTTGGTGCAGCTTTTAGTATAGAATTCAGATGTATTTTTCTTTAACCGCTGAAAAACAGACATCTGAAACAAATGCTACGTTATCTAATTACCTGTTTAAATTTTGGACTATTTTTATTTTCTGCTACTAGCTACGTAATTATTTTTTGGCTTAAGTCTGGCTGCACTGAAGAACAACACAAATCGTTTCCCTTCTGTCTTATTTCGTTATGTTACCGTAGAAGATAGAAGAATATTTTTTAACTCAAACACTCCTGAAGCGTAACGACGTAAAACTCTACTAAATATAGTCGGACAAGTTGCTTGCAAACTAATTTGGCACTCTCAGACATAGTATATTTATAAACGTCAGACTGAAGGAGAATGGCTCAGTGCGGCGTGCGCGGAAATACCGTTCATCTCGTGCAATTGTCGCTTCAGTTTGTGCGGGCCCCGGCGTACGCGCAACCCTTGCAACCACCCTGTGGTTTTGTTATGCGAACTTTCACTAACGGTGATTTCGAGGAATTCGTTATGGAATGTGATAATGGTTTTGAGGTGAATAAATATTTTTAATTTACGTAAATTTTGTATTACCCGTTTTTTACCTTTTTTAATTTTGTGTTACCCGTTAGTTTCTGAGTGAGTATTATGTATATATATATATATATATAAAATTAAGTGTAACATTAAAAGTATCATATTATTACTTTCATCATTACTGAAACCATTGACCATGTACTTGATTTGTGTTCTGAATATTAATAGTGACAGCACCAAATATAAGTATAAAAACATTATGTGGTAGAAACGAAATGAGGAAAAGAGATATTTTATTAGTAATCGAGAATACAGTCGTTGCAGTAGAATATAGTATAAATAGCGTTATTATTGAATAAAACATGTAATTCTATAAAAATCATTTATTTAAATGTTACTGTGTACTAGTATTGTGAGGAAAAATATAAAATGTGATAATCCATCGTATATCGTTTTAAGATTTGTGTGTAATTCTATTTGATTATTTCTCTAAGATTTGTGATTCATTTGGAAAATCCTGAAAGCACTAAGTCTCCTAGAGTTATAGTGTGGTGAAATGTTTACTGTGGAAGTTAATGTAGGTACATTATTATTTCTATAAATTTTATACTCTAAGAATCTTGATTTCTTTAAAACCCGCAGAAGACAGTAGTGTAGAAGAGACTAACGTGCTTTTCAGTATTCAAAAACTATGAAAACATTTCTTCCAAATTGATTTATATTTTATTAACTTAGATATAATTATTTCTTTCTTTTTTCATTTAGTGTAATTAAATTGAATTGTGAAAGACTGTCTTAATACAGTCGTCTCTTTTTCAATCCATTCCCTTTTTCATAATTGCAGAAGGAATTCATCTAGTAACATCCTATGGAGAATAAAATTTATTTTAATGTAGCACATTCTTGCGCCGTGTAATAGTAATATATAGCCATAAACAATTAAAAAGACCATCTGAAAGGAAAAATAAGACTTGAATTCTATGGCATAGTTGTTCAAGCAGTGGTCTCATAGTAAAATACCTAACTTGCAACCGGAAGACATGACATTGTCCTCACAGACGTTGCATACTTACACCACAAAGCCATTAATCAAAAGTTGAAGAAGATTCCGTGGACACATGCCGATGTACAGATACTAAAAAAGTATACGTTTGTATACCGTTTACTTAACAATTGGTACAGAGGGTAGTAGTAGAACAGAAGACATACTATGAGATCCTAAACCGAAATGTCAAATATTTATTATGGAATTTCTTTAACAACTAAGGGCCAAGAGCAATAAAAGCATTCTACTAAGTAACGGTATGACGTTAACTATAGTTATTAAAAAGGCCTTCAACAGCCTTTGAAAAGCAAGTTAAGCGAATGTTTAAGTGTTATTAAAAGTTACAATTGATAGTTTTTTTAGAAAAGTACATCTGAATAATAATATGGTAAACAACTATGGATATTCGTAATATTTGTGTTGTATTTCATGCGTAGGTGCAATAGAATATTTGAAATTCAAGTAAACAAAAATGATAGCAAAAAATTATAATTTAAAAAAGTCTTTTGTACCAGCTGCACTAAAAAGTATAAAATAATGTTCTATAATTTCAAAAGATGTCAAGTGTTGTAAATATTTTATTGACAGGTATTGATAAAAGTAAAGTTATTAAATTATAAAATATCTTGAAAAGCACCCCACGTTTATTCACAATAAATGTTTTAAACAAAAAAGGTTATTTTCTACTTTTTAGTTCTGCTAGTACAAAAGTGTTTTATTAGTACATTTTAAACTATAGTTTATTTTTGCTTTTTTAGTGACGATTATTTTCTCATTAAAGACTAAAAAAGTAAGAAGTAAGTCATGTATGGTTCAGTATACGTCTTAGAACGTGGCACAAGACACTACCGTGTTGTTAAATATGGAAAAGGCCGTTAATCCCGAAGATCCTGATCAGGATAATCAGACAAATTAATTAAATTATTGTATTGTCATCGGTCCTTGATATGTGTGAGAAGTTTCAACTCAATCCGATGTTTTAGAGTGAATGAAAATATATGATAATGATATATGAGTATACATACATACCAAGCTAATAAAAGCGTGTTAAAAATGTAAGATTTGATTTTCGAAATTTTTGTTTAGTTCGACTAGCTCTTGCATTCAGTGTTTTACGATCTATTCTCTTCTATTTTTACATCTCAAATCAAGTACACAATACGTTTTTTTTCACGTTAATATTTAAAATAAATGTAACTAATTGTTTCTTGCGTTATGTCATTGAAAACAACTGCACGCAGTCAAATAGTTATGTATACCTATTTACTTATAATTGTTTAAAATGTTCTTTATTGTGTTGCTAATATCAAAATGACGATAATAAAACTAAATACTTATTTCGGTAATTTTGATCAATAGGTTGTACATTAGCTTATTTAATATAAACAGTAAGTTTTGTAGGAAATGCCATGAAATTAACAGCTTTACTGTTGACGTAACAATCAGTTAATTCAGTAAATTTAATTGTTACTATATATTTTTCAAACGCTCTTGTTTCTAGTCACTTGTCATTTTATCTTTTGTCGGATATTATTTTCTATATTTGCCATCAATTAAGACATTGTCACATCTGTAAATTCGTATCAGTCCATGCCAATATATGTCATTGAAACGTTCTTACGTGGATCTCTACGAAACCTTGCATTTTTTATTATATCTGTCATGTGAACTAAATGACGAATTTTGAATTAGTATAAACTACTTCAGTGGTTACGAGAACAATACATTATTACTCACACAATACTCTGCTATTATCATAAATGCATTTCAAAATTTACTACTTGACTCATTCATCATTTTAGGTAAATTTTCAATTTAGGTTTTGAATACCGAAAAGGTAATAGCCTAACCATTAACTGTCAACATTAACGATCAACAAAAAATACAACCTACAAGGCCATAGCTCCAAGTTTAAAATTAAATTGTTTCAGCAATATTTGAGTTTATAAATGTTAGTACAGCAAGTAGGTACTGATCAGTCATTAAAATATAGTTCTCAAAATTTATAAGAATAGTGCAGTAATGAAAACCTCTGAACTATGTACGCATGGAAAGGAGTTAAATAAAAAGCTTTATCGGTATTAGATGCCAGCGTTTGCAAAATGGATGAAAAATATGTTACTAAGCCGCCTGTGTAGGCAGTGGTTATTGTTCTAAAAGCAAATCATTGCTGTGGCCTAATAAAAAGTCAGTAGTCACTTCTTTAAAGGGTTGGGGAGGGGGGAGGGGGGTATTTATCATCAGCGAGTTAGTGTAAAAATTTGAGTTTTTTAGATATCAATAAAATCTAAAGTATAAGAGCTATGTAATTGAAACTTTACATGATAAATAAATTCACTATTGACATAATTTCCTAACAATTTTGTTCATCTGGTATAATCCAGACACAAATAATGAGGGTTCAAAAAACGACGAAACGCTTCGAGAACAGGTATGCGCTATGCTTGACACGCCTTGGCGGGGCCACTACAGGCTGTGCTCCTAGATAAATCTCAATGTTTTTAAACTTTGTGATCATAATTTTATTCATGGTGAAATTAATGTAGATTCTTTTAACAATCCTTAGAACTAGTTAATAAGTAGATAATACATTTAATTTAGCATGAGTAATTTTATACCATTCCGGCAACATTAGGATAAGAATTCTAGCATCACAGATTTGGGAAAGAATCTTTAATGTAGCGTATACATATATATGCAAAGTATAGCATTACGAGCTATTGCCCGCGGCTCCGCCTGCCTGTATGTTGGTTATCGTGGTAAAAACCCTATGTCCTTTATGATTAATTAAACTATCTCCATACCAAACTTCATACCAAATTATATCTAATTCAGTTCAGCGATTTAAGCGTGAAGATTGAACAGACAGACGCTCTTTCGCATTTATAATGTTAGTATGGATGGATTGCAACAATCGTTTTATGGAATTCGTTGCAAAAAATAGGTTATTGGTACACATATTTTATATGTTGCGATTCCGGGTAGGTAATAGTCATCGTCGTCAATCAAGATACTGTTACTGATTTGGGAGTGACGTAGATAATGTAGATGTCGTAGTAGATAGCTCTAATGATAAAACTAAAAGAATCAATTCGCAAGCTATGAATATGTAATTTATAGTATTTGTCATGACATGAAACATATAAACGTCCAATGAGTTACATATTTCGATTTTTTAGTAACACGTCACGCGTCGTTCATGCAAACACTGAAAGCAAACAGACGTAAGTGTAAGAGGTGCGCATAGCGAAGCCGTCAGTTGGCGCCTGCGCCTCAGATAAGACTCGTAGTACGCCGTCGCAACTCGCCGGTACCTCCGACCGGCAGGGAGTCGGCTAATAGCCTTCGAAAGGTCCAACGCCATGAACTCTCGTCAGCTGTGCCGGCTCGCGTTTGCCTCGCGCCCCTTCGTCAAACCAAAGATATGTGCCTGCTGTCGCCATTATAGTCAAATTAGACCCGTCTATATTATAGGCAAGCCTGAAGTGAGTGTCTTATTATTTCCTACTTCTAGTGATGATAATGGTATTTTCTGTGTACGGCTTTCTTTGTGGAAATTTGGGTTCTACATTATGTAAAATAGAATAACTCATAAAACTAAAATCTCTTATTTTCAGAAATGGCGGAATTCAGCACCACATTTCTATGCTGTGCAGTCTATCGATATGAGGTATGTATGCATTATAGCAGTAAGTGTCAACATACACACTTTTATTGGAAATAAATTGATGTTAATAATCCAGATCGATTCCTATTGATCTAAATTAAACTGGTCGGCGCCGGTACTTGTTCAATTCACCCTTGACATTAAAAGTATTCACTTACGTATGATGGCCATAGACAATAGAAATAACTAATTTTTCCATGTACATTTTGATAAGTTATATAATATTTCGTATCATAATAACGTTATTTTTCAGTAATAATTGACATTATGGTGTGACTCAAATAAGCTTACGTTTCTAATAAAATTTTAAATAACATGTACGTAACTTTTTCTGTATCAGGCTGTATTGATTGAATAAATGAAGTAAACTGATATTATTATTTTGGGCCAAGTTCGTATGCCGTTGATAAAGTTTTCATATTTATGTTTATTCACGTTCCATGGTGCAGGAGATTCTCGTTCGTGCATAACGTCGATCCAACGTGAGTACAGCTGGCTGTAAACCTGCCTGTCTTTTTTATATTTTACGCAAACTGATGCTGATACATTTGTGTTACAACTTTTAATTTGCTAATTTTTCGACCATGATCGTTTTTTATTTTAATTTACTTAATGCATGATGAATTTTGTTTTTTTATGCTTCTTTCTTAGCCCGCATATGGTAAGTAAGAAGATATCACAGTGTTATGGTGTTTATACACAGGTATAATGTAATTCAGTTATTGTGCACTAATCGACTAAATCCACTTAATATTATGAGTTAATAATTAGTTACTATGTGTTTCTACTCCAGATGCTGTCTTTGCCAAATTTAAATTTAATGTTATCTTGTTTATATATTATTATCACATTGTACTGCGACGAGGATATTATACGCTCGAAAATAAAACTAAAATTTTTACTAATGACGTTTTTACTCTTATTTCAACTTTTTAGACACAGTGCCAATTTTTTGCTGTCATTGTTGAAATATAGAGCAAAAGAGGGGAAAAACTGGAACACGATGTTGTAACGCAGTTGTGATTTTAGCTACTTGCCAATTTTTTTAAATAAATTAAAATACGTTCTTTGAATGTAGTCAAATGAGAGCAACTATTTAACAGTTGTTAAAGCGTGAATTTGGCTCGAGCAACGGCAGCGTCGAGACACACCCGCGATACCTACGTAGAAGTCATACCTCAGATAAAATTAGAACGCTAACTTGTCGTGACGAAGTCTGAGTAAACAGATTATACACAGTACCACAACAATTTTTATTTGCAAAATTTATCATCCTCATTGTGCAAAATATTGTTACATAACTAAATATTTAACTACCATTAGATTTGCTTTACGTTACCACTTAAGACATGATGTATTCAATAGAAACTATTTATAACGTTGTCAATGCTACTGTCATTACAATACTATCTGTATAATTACCGTTTAAAAAAGAATTACCAACTTCAATGCCCTTTAATCATGACAAATTGTAATAACCAGTATTCTTCCTCTCTTCATTTTCTTCAAATGAAATTAAGCCAATCTTGAGTACAGCCAGTTCAATTAAAAAGAGTTACTGAAATCGGTTCATAAACAGAGAATATTGCGCGAAAAATATATACAAAAATATTCAATCGAAATAAGAACCTCCTCCGTTTGAAGTCGGCAAAATGGGCTGAAGTATAATGAAACCAAGGAAACTTGATACTTTAATGTTAATGTAAATTCTGTGTCGCATTAATTCGTATAAGATTTAGACGACGGTAGAGAACACGGTATATAAAATCATTCAGACAGAATAATAATAATAATAGTAAGCGGTTATCAGTTGTAAAAACACCCACACACAACCCTAGCCATCTCCTCGCTTATTTTGCCGCACCACTATAGGGGGTGTAAAGTTGTAGAGGGTACCAACCAATAGTATAGGAATACGGTGTACGGTGTGCGAAAATTCAGCTCTCATATGACTGAGCTCATTAGTTTTTTTGTTCCTAAATTTATTTATATTTGCTGCTAAAAGACTCTGTCTGGTGATCTTAAAAAAAAAATGAGCTCACTTAGATGTATGCTGGATATGCTTTATTTTTTTAGCAGTTTTAATGGCAAACCTTGTGCTAGATGATTGTTTGCTATTTTTTATGTGGCTGCACTTAGCACTAGCATTAAAACGCACCTTTTAAATATTCGGAATAAGGGTTGTTTTTTTTTCATGGGCACTTTTGTTTATAAATTATTTTTAGCTTTTTACAAAATGATATCAAAACTGTAGTCTTATTTACATTCATATGCTTACCTACATAAAGACAGATACAAACTCTCTATATTACTTTAAATTAGAACTCGGTACAATGTTTAATTTAGAATCTTTTTATTATTATTTTTCTTTCCGATACAAAATCAAATCTTTATTTACTAATTTTAATTTACTACCTACAAATATATTTTTATAGAACTGTAATAACTGGTTTTTGCGCCTATCGATATACATTAGTTAGATTTCTTCGCCTTGGTCACAGTTTTTTACGTTACTGTAATTTTGTAAAGAAAAATGAAGGACCACAGTTCGATTTTTTGTCATAGTAGAAGGGTCTATATTTTTAGAGGAAACCATTTATTCTTATATGTTTGAAAACATGTTATACGATATGTTACACCGATCATCAATCATCATCAACAGCCTATAATAGTCCACTGCAGGACATAGTCCTCTCCTTAGAAAGGAGGTTACACCGATAAGAAGCTTTAAGTTACGTTTTGATGACAATTCCTTTTTTACAACATAATTGTGTGTAACTAAGTGTAAGTGTGTCTTTGTTTAGCAGGGTGCGCGAAGGACCACATAAAAATGCTGATGACGTTCTGTTTGACATGTTCAAAAATGAAGAAACCGGACTTCTACCTGTTGGAAAATTTTTGGCCGTACGTATTTTCTTTATTTATATTACGTCATTATTAAATAAGTCCTAATGGAGACGATCTATCATCTGCCTTCCGGTTCAAAGAAGTCTGTTCGCTTATGTCTCGAATGCGTCATTCGACACAGAAAAAAGTTGTAGGTGTCAATGGTATGGTATTTCTGTCTTTTTTTTTTCCTGGGGTGGCATTCAGATGTACACTCAATACGGGTACAGTAAAAAAGGAGAAAGTATTCCCAAACGAGACTATGATATACCAGAGCCAAAGGAAATAAAAAAAAGTACTTATTTCTATGTATGTATATTGAAATTCTAGATTTTATATAGAAGTACTTAGTAGGTACCTATCAATAGACATTAAATCTTGTTAAAGATAATTAGATAATCTGCCGGCTAGGCTGATCGTCTTGTGCTTTGCCTTTTAAATAACGTTATTAGAGTGCCAATACTTATTCATGATCAAAACTCTTGAGTTTTTTCACGTGTGGTGTAATATAAAATGATATAATACAAAAGAAAATGTACAATTTAAAACATTTTATACATAAATATTTTTATATATGCATAAATATTTTATAAATTCGTTTTATAGAGTCTAGATTATTGTGAAATAACTTTTCAACTATGATTTGCTGAAATAGTTAATTAATCCCTTTTATTAAAAGTCTCTGTCGAATGTTGGTGTCGTACACATGAAACTTTTTTGAAATGTAAGCTTTTTGGTATTTACAGGCCCTGAGAACTACTGGTATTAGAAAAAATGATTCACGAGTTAAAGAAGTAATGCATAACTTATACAAGGTACACAAAGAGTCTAACTTCGAAGGAGGTTCACCCGAAACACTAAAACTTGACCGGCAAACTTTTAAAGAAGTGATTGCACCTAACATTGTTTTGATAACTAGGGCATTCCGTAGTCAATTTGTGATTCCAGATTTCCAAGATTTTATTAAAGACATAGAAGAAATGTATTGGGCTGCTAAAAGTAATACAGATGGTAAAGTGGCCAGCTACATACCACAGCTAGCTCGTGCAAGCTCTGACAACTGGGGCATAAGCGTTTGCACAATAGACGGTCAACGGTTTTCTATCGGTAAGAATTGTTTTATTCGGTTACCCCAGAACACATTTATTTAATACCTAACCTGACCTACCCTTAATAACTTTAATAAATGTATGTCGTTATTTTTAGGTGATGTTAATGTTCCATTTACTTTACAATCGTGCAGCAAACCCCTCACATATGCGATGGCGCTTGAAACTTTGGGTCCCGACGTAGTTCACCAATATGTTGGCACCGAGCCCAGCGGCCGGAACTTCAATGAACTCGTCCTAGACTATAATAGTACGTATCAACTACTTCCACAGCTATGTGGCGTCACTTTTAAAACTATGAATAGTACGATAATAACAACAAAACAAAATTCCTGATGCCAACCTCGTGATTGTAAATAACATGAAATATTAAAAGTGTTAATCATTATGTATTTTTACAGTGAAACCACACAACCCGATGATCAACGCAGGAGCAATTTTAGTGTGCTCATTACTAAAGACTTTAGACAAGCCTGAAATGACACTCGCTGAAAAATTTGATTACGTCATGTCTTTCTTCAGTCGCCTGGCTGGGAACGAAGTTTTGGGTTTTAATAATGCAGTATTTTTATCCGAACGTGAAGCAGCTGACAGAAACTACGCCCTTGGTTTCTACATGAGAGAATACAAATGCTATCCAGAAAAAACAAATCTCCGTGAGTGTATGGATTTCTATTTCCAGGTGAAAACATTTTAAATAATTTTAAGTACTACGCGTTTTTTTTTGTTATAGTTACCAAATAGCTAGTGCTTATTTATAGCACAAGTTAGAAAAAAGATGCACGACATATTTAACCTTGATGTCGTGAAAAATGATTGGTGCTCTGAACTGCAAAAAAATGGCATTGCATGTTACTCAGCGGTGATGGGTGCTGGCCGGCCTCCCATCACCGCCGTTCCGTTTTAATTACAATTTCCAATTAGGGACTTCCTTTGATCTAAATTATTTGCGGAAGAAGAGGGTATGTAATTACAGGTACCTTTTTATAGGCACTAAAATTAAGGACCTTTAATTAATAATTTATTTATTTACGAATAGTTTACAAAGCCAAAATACAAAGCACGCTTTTCTCTACATCTCAACTCGTATCTAACTCTTTTTTATAAAGAAAAATTAAACTTTGTATATTTTGACAATTTCTGGTGCTGGCTGTGTCTTCCTTTTAGAACAAAATGATTTAATTTTCGAAAGTAAAACTCTTAGGTTTTTGAGTCTTTTATGTTATGTTTTAATTCGTAAAATCAGCCCATTAGACACCATCTAGCCCGGTATTCCACCCGGTTGTTGATTCTGACGTTCAGGAGTCGGAAAGCCAGATCTAGTAATCGTGAAATTACAAACGTGACAGACACAGATTACGCATACTTTACGACTTTACTTCTTTGTCTTTAAATAGAGACCAAAGAACGTTTACTAAATTTTGTGATAAAACCTGAACATTTATTTCATTTACAGTGCTGTTCCATGGAAGCTAACTGCGACATAATGTCTATCATGGCTGCTACTTTAGCAAATGGAGGCATTTGTCCGATTACAGATGAAAAAGTGCTTCGCCCTGACTCAGTTCGCAATGTACTGTCTTTGATGCATAGCTGCGGAATGTATGACTATTCTGGACAATTCGCCTTTAAAGTAGGACTTCCAGCCAAGTCAGGCGTTTCTGGAGCAATGCTTATAGTGGTGCCTAACGTTATGGGAATTTGCACTTGGTCTCCACCACTGGATCCTCTTGGTAATAGCTGCAGGGGCTTGCAGTTTTGTGACGTATGTAAACTCTTTTATATATATTATTTACAAGGTATTAGGGTAACGAAGCCGAAAACAGAGATAGTAAATACTAATGATACCTTTGTTCATGTGCCAGAAATAAATTAATCCCGAAGAATGAAATACATATTATTATTACTACTACTACTTACTATCATTTTAGCAAAGCTAAATGAATATTATTATTATTTCACCAAAATACATAGCTTTACCTAAAAAAATACTACTAAAAGTATGATACAAAATAAATATCACATATATGTAGGTATGTTTTCGATTGACGCTTGTTCTCGGGAGCGTTCCTCTAAGCTACATTACGAATTTTAAGATTAGGTACCATGTACAATTTATGATATTTCAGGATCTGATCAAAAGGTTCAATTTCCATAAGTACGACAACATTCGTTACGCCAGTCACAAGAAAGACCCACGGCGTTATAAATTCGAATCCACAGGCCTCAGCATAGTAAACCTGTTGTTTTCCGCTGCCAGTGGAGACATCAGTGCTTTAAGAAGGTAAATAAAGCCCAATAACGTGTTAAATAAGTTAACAAAACTAAACATGCTGACAATTTTTTAATTTTTTAACAGCCAAAGGTCTGATCCGTCTCTTCTTCCCGTTCCGGTGAAACCATCACAATAAATAGCTTTCGACAAGTACTTATGCAGTACAACTATCTGCTTTCTACGTTATACATTCAAACGATAACATTTAACTCATGTAGGCTTCTTATAACGCTTGATAAGTTATTTATTTTCGAAAAGAAGCTATTTCTTTATGTAATGCTTACTTAATCAGTTGGCAGCACAATATTCTCAATAGCTATAGGTTTATCATTATCGCAAGATAGATATATTCACACGCAACAAGTACTTTAACACTATTTGGTTCTTTGTTTATTAATTACCAGTACATTGACATCATTTTCATTCAACAGGCACCATCTCTCCGGTATGGATATGACTCTATCAGATTATGATGGTCGTACAGCTCTACATTTAGCTGCGGCTGAAGGTCACCTCGGTTGTGTGGACTTCCTCTTAGCCCAGTGTGGTGTACCTTATGATCCACGAGACCGCTGGGGAAGTCGTCCTCTCAACGAAGCTGAGACCTTTGGCCATACTGCCGTAGTAAACTACTTAAAGGAATGGGAACGCGCCCACCCGAATGAGCCAACTACAGATGCAAACGCTTCTACAGTCGATGAGATGATACTCGAAGCAAAACCAGACACTAACGATGCTGTTAAAGATCCCAGTATTCAAGAAATTGTATCTAGGAATGGTGACAAAGTACAGTAGAATCTCAATAATAGGTCGGTGTGACTAAAGATCTCATGGTTATTAAGGTGTTAAACATTTGAATTAACTTTCTGTGTTGCAACTCTCTGAAGTATATGGTATTAATATTCTATAAATATTCCGTAGCAAATGAACGGTAAACTAATTCCAGCAATTGCATTAGTATATAATGTTAGTAGGTATAATTTGTCTACTAGACTTGGATAAAATACAAACGAATGTGACACGTCATTTATGCTTATTTATCATCGACACCGAATTATTCTATTAGAACAAATTTATTCAATAAAATGCATTTTATCTTTGAATGCTTATAACTTGTGAGTGTTTACTACTGTTCTAGATGTTCACGTTCACTTTAAATTGTTGAAAGATATGTTTTTAAATAAGACATATTTAAACAAAATTTGTAGAAGCCTACAAAATTAATCTTAGGTACTATTCAATTGTGACATGTGATTTAGGCTTATAGAGGAATGTATTTCATGTATGAGAATTGAGCTCAGAAACGTGTGATATTAATGGAATTATATGCACAAGACAAACATCTTAGAGAAGAGTCAATGTAAAATGAATATTCAAAAACAAGACGCGAAGTGAAATTAATGGGAATTTAAATTTTTGTAATTTATTTTCTATAGAATTTAATATATTATACTTAATTCGATTTCTTTAAAAAAAAAGTATTGTAGCTGTTTAGATACTTCTGAACATTTTACATAATGCTGTTAATTAGATAGTGCTTAGATGTTGATTTTAGAAGAGTTTACTAGCTGAAACACAGTTTAATCAATAGGTAAATATCAAATAACCACATATACGAAGTGTTAGATAATATTATCTGTATATCCATATAATAAGTCTAAGCATCTGGTTTTCGAGCCCTCCCAAACATTGTAATTTTAACATTCCATTTATACTGTTAAAGTACAACATTGGATCTGATTTAAAAAAATCTTTATCGAAAGTCAGCTCTATAACATTTAAATTTATTCTGTTCACAAACATGAACATATATTTATATGTAGATTACAAGAACTAATTTTACAAGGAATGTTAAAAACGTAAAATTCCTGATATATATAAGTCACCTCTTACTTATATACTGACAATAAATAGATGCTACTGTATGTCATTCATTATTGATGTTGTCCAAATGTACGTCAATTAAATAAACTGTTGATTAAAATTTGTGTTCTCATTGAATACCCCAACAGAATGTTGCCAATGTATAAAATAAGTTATTATCAAGTCCTTATAAAATTACAATTTTTAAGACTGTTATTATTTTATAAATAATTTGACTATTTCCAAAGTATGTAAGATTGGACAGTCTAGCACTTGTTAAAAAAAAGACCACTGACTATCACAATTATTTATTATATATCTCTACACAAGTTTTGGTAACTTAACACAGACAAATTTATACAACACCACTTGGCACGGATTAAAGCGTTTAATTGGCCCCAGCGAAGGGCAGAATAGACCTGGAGTATACTATTGCTTTAGAGTTTTTTGCCGAAAACCATCAAGGTTGGGGAGTGGTTAGAGACCACAATTATAACACTAGAGAATAATAATTGACTTATTTAAGAAATTGATTCGTATTTATAGTATATTTATTGCTGATCTGCAATGTTAAATTTACATCATTTTGCTATTATTGCAAGTCAGCAATATTGTATTACCTTACCTACCATTGTAAGTTAATCCTATAAGGTTTCTTCTGACCTGAGTTGACAGACGAACCTTACAAGGATACTGTAGTTGAGAAAGACTTCAGTGGACTTTTTCCACTTATGGAAATATCAGTAGGAATAATCAACCTAATGTGAAACAACGAAACCCAAAGGAGTTTGACTAAGTTTAACTTCAATTGAATTTATATCTAATATTATTATACTGATTCCATAAATAGCTAATTCCTCTTATGAGACAACTTCAACTCTTTAACTCCTGACCCCTTCATGGTAGTCCTGTCCAGTGTAGACCTGGACTCCATTTTTTTAAAGATCTTATTTGTTTTCACATAGTTGTAGTTCTTTCATTCAAACATTTGTTTTTGGGTCCTAATATGTGACACAGCTATTAGTGGTTGATACTTCAGTAATATTTTTAAGGTTAATAATGAAAAAACATGTTAACATTAAACATCTTAATTTATTAATTCTATTCATTACACTACAATTTATTTTTATAATATACCTACAATTTACATTAATCAGTCACTGTTGCTCTGACTGGGCTTGATATAACTCCTAATAATTTGCAATCTGCTTCTAACAAGGTAAGATCAGTGGTGGAACCAAGAAAACGGGACGATAACTCTAGGTCTTTGATCTGGATTCTCACCCTAGCTCCTCTGACATATTCATCTCCACGTACAGTTGGCCTAGTGCAGACACAGTGGAATTTCCATCCAAAATCAATATACAGATCATCTTGAACCACATGGAATATTTTGCCAATAACTATTTTACCACTAGGGTCGCCCAACTGTAATCAAATATTACAAACTGATTAGTAAAATCCATGAGCACAATTTACATACTCAAACTGCTGCAGATACATCCAGCACTTGTTGCATCCTCTAATTGAATATGAAATGAACCTACACTTATTAAAATAAATGAACATATATACATAGTAATTGATACCAATGACTTTGTCCACTTAGACCAAAATCAAATAATGAACTTTCATTTTATTTTATTTTTTCTATAATGTTGAGAAATTATTGAAACAACTGTACCTTCAGGTTTTATTTTAGCAAGAAAAACTAACCTTTGCACCCTGTCTAATAATGCACCTAGGCAGTCACTAGACTCTCTATTCTTAAATTGTTCAAAATTTGTTTAGGACATCTTTCCTTCCTTTCCATAACATGAATGTGTATGGAATATATCACTATTCACCTTAATATAGTTAGATGGTAGTGTGGACTATTAAAGATATTTCTAAGGTCCATTTTAAAATAAATTAAATATGGGTGTAACTTCTAACAGAAAAAATATCCTGGTATCACTCGGGACAGTTTAATTATTAGATTAGAATTTTCTCTCATTGCATATCACGATTTCATGTGTTAATTAAGTTACTTACATCCATTAATTTTGAATTTCTTAGTAGAGAAGAAAATGTATAGTTTTGTTCATTATCTTGAATTTGAACCTCTGAAATTTGTGACTGTTTCTCAAAAGCTTTGGCGAAACCGCTGATTTTGTCGCTAGGGTCCTCTGTGATATTAACCGGATCCTGAGTGCCTGTGTTTGTAGAGACAGTAGGAGTACAAAATGTTCGTGAAGTTATTAGAATATTTGATCTTATTGGTCTAGTAGTTCTACATGTGGCCATCACCATGGAACCCACTGTTGGTATCGATTTCTTGAGATAAAACATTTTGAATATTGCAAAATTAACAGCCATAAAACCGATGCTTTGCAAAATATAACCTCCCTAATTATTCCACCATCACTGCTAAAGGAACGTCTGTCAATGTCAATCAACTGTCAATAATGACAATACTTTGATTTAAAGTTTTTTTAACCCGCTTACTTGTTCAACACTCAATCATTCAGGGCACACCCAGCAAAAGATTAGGAGAGACGAAGAGGGCTAAGCAGTAGGGATTAGAGTTGTGTAGCTCCTGATTGAGTGATATAAAAGATATATATCATTCACGACGACCTTAGTGATGTAACGAATGTTCACACTCGCATTCGCGAATATTCGCATATTTTTTGCCACCCGCATTCGCATTCGTATTCGCAAGAACCGAAGCGAATGTTTGGCGAATGTATTTGACTAATAAAAAGGAAATTATAACTATAAGGACTGGATGGATCTCAAAGGATAATACAACTATTATGATTCACAGTTTTCTATTTACTTATAAGAATCACTTTCAGTGTCACAAATTGTAAAACAAGTCCTAATTTCGGTAAAACGGGCTTTGCTCATGTTTTTAAATCACTTTTTTATGGTATAAGGGGGCAAACGAGCAGATGGGTTACCTGATGGTAAGCAACTACCGCCGCCCATGGACACCTGCAACTCAAAAGTCACAGGCGCTTTGCTGCTCTTGGAGTCCTTAAAGTCCTTTACTTACTTACTGAAATTTACACATTCTTAAATCTGACAAATAGTCAATTAATCTCAAACCATAACAGGTCTCAGAAAGATCTTAATGTGACTATATAACTTCATTCATCCTGTGAAAGCTAGGGCTGGCTCGGCTACGTTTGGTTTCCACGTGGCTGTTACGATTTTATTATGGCACACTCGATGACATTTTGCGCGTGCTTTGTTTGAAAACCAACATTCGTATTCGTAATGAATATTCGCATCCGCATTCGCATTCGAGAATGTGAGAAATCATACATTCGTTACATCACTAGTATCACTCACTCACACTTGCTCCGAATATATCAGTAACTCAGTACTAGCTCACTAGATCACTATATCACTAGCTCAACGACGCCGATCTTTGTTTCATGGGCGAGTGAGACTAAAGATAAATGAGTGTGATATATGATAATGATGGTTGAGTTCACGCAAGTTTTTTTATGCTAAATTTACATTATTTCTATAGGATCAAAGTTTAATATTACTTAAGAATTAAGCCTACCAAGTACAAGGAAAATCAATTTATGTATGTAATTATGTATGATTTCTAATATACAACCTAAAAAAAAGTACAAAAGAAATAATTATTATACGTATTTCTTATTTTTAATTATTATATAAAAGGGTGTTTATAATTATGTAATCTTATTAAAATGAATAAAATTGTATTTTAAAAAAAAGTGTAGTTACAAGAACTGAATTTAGGTTAATATGAAAATAAAGAAAGGTTTGTATGGCGAGAGAGGCTTGAAGTGAGTGATATACGAGTATACTGAACTAAACGATCTAGATGAAGAAATGAATTAATGAATATAAAAGAAGTAAAATTAAATAAATATTTACACACAAAACACATTTTATTGTGTAGTAACATTTTATTACTAGAAAATGTTTTTAGATTTAAAAAAATGTATTTGTATTATTTTCTTCTTTTGTTGTAATGTATGTATGTTTTAGTAATTTACTTGTCATGCAGCAGTAACAAATGGCTAAAATAAAATAAATATCACGTAAATATTATCCTGAAATTTATAATATTTGGACATAATAGGAATAGAAGAAAGGAGTGGAATACCGATAGAAACTAAGCAAGCAATAAATTTAGAATTATTTTACAATGGTTCAAAAATCTCACATCCCCTTCAAAATTGGTCAATGGTGTCAATTCTGAATCTGCTAAGGTGAACTGGACAAACATGACCAAGTCTTCTTTAATGAAGAGGCTAGGGCTTTTGAGGAACCCTTTGGTTTGATTCTAGGATAATATTTATATATAAAACGGAGGAATTCAGTTCAAAAATTTTCTGAAAGCTCTTTTAGACAAACCGATGGCAAAATCGCCGTATTTTAATTTGCCGTAGACGTCAAAGTCGATTATTTTCGATTTTTTTATTTTTCCGAAACACACGTATTGAAATGTAAATGTAAATTGTATATCTACAAAAGCGAAAGAAAGACAGTTCCGATTCGAGTTTCTATATTGCACATATCATTATCATTATTTCCGAATAAAGCTCTGCAACATATGGAAAACAATTTTTATTTTTTAGCCGCTTATTGAAAAAGGTAGAAAACATCATGCTTTGATCAATAGAATCGGAGAACAAAGTTTTAGGAATGCCAGGTAATTTATAGATAGTGCTTGGTATTTTCCTGCGTATAGCTCAAATATGGTGTGAAACCGCGTGCACAGTTGGTAAAAAATAAAATCATAAATAATATTTAGAACCTAGGTAGGCTATTCAATTTTTGCCGCCCCTACTAAACTCCACCGACACCTATGCACCATTAATGCGATGGATAGCCCTCTTTGCAGAGGATGTCTGAAAGCAGAAAAAACGGGCAAGTATCATACCTGATACAAAATCGCCCTAAGAAACAGCTTGGTTGAGTCACCTAGTCAACCTTGCCGCGAAGCATAAAGGACCATTCTCGAGTCTAAATGCTGCAATTATAGCCAACAAACATTAGCAATATCAATACTAACCTTTGCAATTCAATACCCTCTTTTTACGTGTGGAAACCCCCTAGAGACGGAATGCCGCTGTGCCTAAGGAGGGATATAAGGGATCCGGAAATAGCTTAAGACATCCAGACCCACAATTCAATATCCTGAAACCACACGATGTGCCACTCTGCGCCTGTAATAGAAGGGATCCGGGAATTACTGTTATTAAGACATCCGGACCCCTCCTAGCGCCTGCCCGCAACGGCGCGGGCACCACATTCGCGTACATTCTCTATTTGGGAACGTCCGGCATACGCGGAGGTCCCCTCCTCGCGGCTGGCTGTTCTGACGGGTGGAGGGGAAAACCCGTCCCGTCCACCCGCGGCCACACTCAGGGCGGCATGAGACGCTAGTAAGCGCGCCTCCACCACCCGGTTTGTCAGTATCCCGTTTGGCCCAAGGGCGATCTTCTTGGAACGGATCCGTAGAACAGCCGTCCCTACCTCCGAATCCCAGAGGGGCGGAACATGATCCACGTTCTCTCCGCCGTCTCCGGCCGAGGAGACCATCGGCGGGGGTGTATGCTCCCTTTGAATAGGCCCTCAACCACTTCCTGCAGGAAGCTGGGCTGGAGAATCTCCGTAAGAGGAGGTGGAGGGGGGCGAAGCGCGGAGCTTTTGTCGCATCGCAGGGGTCACGATCGATACCCTCCAGCATCTCCTTTCTTATCACTTATTTCAGCTTCAGAGTTTTCCACGCTTCTCGGTACTCCTTATGAAGCCTAAAATTTATTAGTACTTGTTGAGTTCCCAGCACAGCGGCTCGAAGTGGAATAGTGAGTGTAGTTAAATCCCCTGGGAATTGAGTCACATCCATTCAGCTACATCAGGGAGACATGACATGATGGTACTTTCGTTACAGCCCAGGGGGCGCCTGGCCTTCAGGGATATCTCCTTGGAGGTCGGGAGCATTGAGGCGCTGGACTTAAGGGTGGCCCTGTATACGACGGAGACCCTCTCATTTCTTGGGTCCCGTCGTGGTCCACCCCCTGACGCCTCAATTGTGATCAAGAATTTTTCAAATAGATGTTGGAGTTTAGTATTAAAATATTGATATTTTTAGTAAATTTTTGAGACTTCTTTTCCTGTGTATTTAATAATATTTTATTTTTTATTTCTGTAAAACACAAAGTTTGGGCCAAATTCGCCGCTTCCTAAAATTTGCTGACCTAGGCCTTAGCCTACTCAGCCTGCTGGTAAATTCGACACTGGAACCAACTCTAATACTATACAGAAAACTGAGTCATTGACAGTACCTATGTAATGTTATTATCATATTATCGGTTTAATAGTATTTTATAGGTATTCATTATTAAGTTGAGGTTTGACTAAGTTAAAATTACATGAAATAGAACTAATTAAACGACATAGTTTGGTAACTTTTATTTGGACACAAAATCGACTAATTTATACAATGAACCCTGTGGTATTGAAAAGTCTGACTACGACGGCTGACGACTGCCTATTAAATGTCAAAAAAATTACACACACGAACCACGGTTTTTTGATAATGTTGAGTGATTGCATATAAAGTAACGAATATTATTAAAATTCTATAATGACTGAAGACCAAGATGCAAAAGACTCGCAGTCTGATTCGGGCAGTAAAACCTTCATAAATAAGAACAAGGATAAGAAAACAAAAACCCAACGTCCGCTAACGAAAGTGACTGTTTTTCTAAATTTTAGAATTGTTGACTGTAAGTATATCATTTGCGGGTGATTGACTTCAACGTTGTTATGTTTGTTTCAGATAATTCTGCGGCGTTTGCCACCTACCATGACTGAACAAGCATTCTTGGAGCAGGTTTCACCAATACCTGACCATGATCACTTTTATTTCGCTAAACCTGATCCTTCTCTCGGCAACAATCTTTATTCCAGAGCATATATAAACTTTGTTAATGTTGATGATATTTACCTGTTTAGAGATAAATTTGATGGATATGTGTTTTTAGATGAAAAAGGTGAACTACATTTTGTTTATTATTAGTGAATGGCATACAATGCAGTTACATATTAATGCATGTCATTTCGTTAAAAATAAGCAATTCATAGAATTTCACAATCTAACTTTATCTACAATGAGTAACTCGTAAGACAAGACTCAAGTATAATATTGAAATTCTACTCAGTTAAGATTCATTCGGTGAATTTGTAATTTACAGGAGTAGAGTTTGTGGGTATTGTAGAGTATGCTCCATTCCAAAGAATACCTAAAAAGAAGAAGAAGAAGGATCCAAAATGTGGTACAATAGAGACAGACCCAATTTATCAAGAATTTGTTGAAAGTCTTAATAAAGACCCTGAAACAGAAAATCAACCTAAACTGGAGTTTTCATACCCTGTTAATGATGGTAAGCATGAGAGTGTAATGGCACTATGTGGCTGAATTACTCATAGACAAGAAATAAAATGAACTTAACCTCTGATATGTCGCTACACTGTACAGTGCTTACCGGTGAAAGTACTTTAAAGTGTAGTGGCATACCAGAGGGGTGGTCAGATTGACATTTGTCCAGTAAAATTTTATATCAAGTATATTATTAAAAATATTACTATGCAAATTGATTTACAAAAAATGAACTTGAATTTAACTTTTGTCTGTACTGTATAAAGGAGAGCTTGTGTGCGTGTGTGTGTGTGTGTGAGCGAGGTTGCATGATGTTATTATTTTGTAACTATTATGAAATATGTTCATTATGCTTTTAACAGGATATTAGAATGCATGATACTCATATAAAGATGTAACAATTGTGTTACTGGTTTATCACTATGCTTATCAGTTTAGTGTGTCATCTCTTATTTATATATTTCTTAGTTAAAACTATTGTTTAAAATTAATAAACTAACCATGTCAAATAATAACTTTACACATCTCACACACAGTAGTCTGATCCCAAACTAGGCAGAGCCTGTGCTATGGTAAATACATACATATTATAGATGAATTATACCCAGACACAAAGCAAGTGATCATGCTACTCACACAATTATTTATTTATCTTGGGTGGGAATCAAACCCACAACCTCCAGCTTAGCGATCAGGGTCACTAACCTCTGAAGGTTAGTGACCCTGATCGCTATGCTTGATGCCGATAGGCTTGTTGGTCTGAACCAACAAGCCTATCGGCATAATAAATTAAGGTTATCTATTATTTTTCAGTAAACGACAAAAAGGTACAATCAACACCTTTGCTAGAGTACCTCGCTGCTCGTAAACAAGACAAGAGAGGGAGGGATGAGCGCCGCAGAAGAGACAATGACAAGAGAAAGATGAGAAATGAACGCAAAACCAAAGAAATGACAATCAAGGTAAACTGCACTGTAACAAAGTATTATTTTAAAAGAGACATGCACGCATTTACAAATGTTTAAATCACAGTTGTATTAGTTCTTTTTGAGTTATGTGGTACAAATAAATGAATTTTAGATTGTTCAACGAACACAACGTGATAAACTTCTAATCAGTTCTTAATGGTTTTCTTTTCTTTATGTTTGAAAGTTCTCCTCTATGTGGATCTGTGTTTGAGAGAATGAGGTATCATTTTAAGTGTTGCCAAACATGTCAAGTTGAAAAAATTCTGACAGATATCCACAAAAGTACAGTAGTATGTGTAATTACATGAAACTAGGTTCCGTATGAGAATTTGAAAAAAAATCATAATATTTTATGTTGGGGATTTATATTTTAATGTAAATCCAAACATAAAAGGAAAGTATTTGACAATATTGTTGTCATAAATGACTTGTGAACTACCTAGTAGATCTGAATAAAAATTTAGATTTACTTACATTACCTTCTTCTGGAAATAGTCAACAAAAAGACTGTAGATCAACAGCTGTGAATAACATATAGAAACTTTATGCAATAAGCATTAAGATTCTAAATTTCGAATCTCTAAAATTCTATTTTGATTAAAAATGACTGTCATCATTGAAATCAGATTAATATGTGAATTTGTTTATCTTACAAATTGTATTGTCTTCTAAAAAACTGTGTTTCCTATTAGTCGAAATTGGCAATGTAAGTTATCTGTATTTCCTTTAAGGCAGACATGATAAGATGTGAACTGAATGGAGCAATAATATTTATTAATAATTTACTCATTTCCACATCACAATATTTCTCTAAGTTATTTCATTTTCAATTTTCTTATATTTATTTAGAGGCCTGGTGATATATCTGAAGATGAAAACTTTAATGACTATATAGATTATTCTCACCACAAATATAACCACCACAGTTTCTGGTATGGAGAACAAAGGATATATCATAAGAGCAAAGGAAAGTGTGGAGTGGTTAAAACAGAGTTGAAAACTACTCACGGATCTGATGAGTTCATTAGTACAGATTCTGACTTTGATAGTCATTTTCCTGCTCTATCAACTAAAACACATAATACTTTCACATTAACTTCTGGTAAATTTTGTGATAAAAAAGAGACGCAAGAAGGTAGTCAAAAAAGTGGTGGTGATACTTGTTTCAAGGTTCTCTTTACAGATTTAACATCGCTTGTAGCTACTGTTGTTTGTTTGTTTATCATTTTAAAAGTACTTCATTTATATTTTTTTGAACGGACATCTAATTGTAGTCTGTATCATATGTTGTTGTAGTTAATGTAAAGTGGTAATGAAATGTTTTATAACTCTTAATAATCTTGTAACCCACGTATTTCAGGAGGAAGATACTGGTGATGGTGAAGTAAAAAAAATCAAATCTAGAGAATGGGAAAAAGATGGCAAAGATGACCAGGTAAAGTCAGATAGTAAAGATGGATCTGTTTTTGAATCTAAGACATATAGAGAACAACGTAAGGCAGGAATTAACATATTAGGGGAGAAAAAGAAAAAAACTGATAATGATAAAAAAGAAAAAGACGATGATCAAGGTGATGACTCTGATAAAGGATATAAAAAAGATAAACGTGATAAGTTCAAGGAGTCCCCTCGCGAACCGAAGAGTAAAAAATATAGTGATACTAGGAAGGAAAGAATCAAACAAAGCGAATTTGTAAAGACAGACAAACAATCGACTATAAATAAAATCATATCAACAGACAGTAAAGTAAAGTCAATGAGTCATGATGACATTAAACCGTTTACTCAGCTTCCGCATGTCAAAACCGATGATTACACAAAAATTATAGATGGTATGGATAAGAAAAAATTGGAAGAATCTTTCAAAGATGGGAAAGTAAAAGATTTCAATGACGAAACCTTTACCAAAATTACTTCTGTTGGCGTTTCGAAGATGAGAAGGAGCAGCTTGGAATCTGGCGAAGTGCCCATTAAGGATGAGTACCTCTTGAAAAGGCAGAAATCGCTTGATGATAGGGGAAAGTCCAGTGAAAGAGAAGAATCTGAAGAAAAAGATAAAAGTGACAGCGACCGTCGTACAGAACGGAGAATCAGAAATAAGGTACTATTACTTTTGACGACTTTTTATTCGCAATGGTCTAGCATTCCTCTGATACATCGAATTCAAGACTCTTATGTAGTCGTCGTCTCATGATAGAGATTGTCTAAAATAAGACTAAAAAATATAAATTTGTCGATATTAATAACGCCATCGCGAGACTTATCGATCGATGATTTTAAACACCACAAAAGCAAACTATTGGACTACGCATGTTGGCGTGGGATCAGACTATATTAATTTATTTTGACAATCGCTATTTATATAATGCTAGGTAATGTAATCTAACATCTCTGTTTACAAATTTGCTTCTTGGTCGATATTTGACCGACTCTTTAAAGTTTTTAGTTTATTTCATTGACTGGTTAGGACTGGATAGGTGCACTGAACGTTTTTAGCTTTATGTATTCGTATTTTACTCAACCAAATAGGAAAATATAACTGATCAAGTTTTTATACTAATTGCACTAAAAATCATCAACGGGTACTAAACAAAAGAAAATAAATAAATCGATTTACAAACTAGGAGGTTCCTAAGCGTTTTCTCTTGCATATTTACATAAATACTAATACTGTGTTCCTAATAAAAAAAAATACTAGATATCGTTTGGGGGTCGAATTTCGACCATATTGGCCAGTATAACTGAACTGTCATTGTTCAGACTTGTACCATGACCGATCAAATTATATACAGGACCCCTATAGTCTTATTCAGTCTTTTTATTTAAAATTTTAACTTTCCGCACTTCTTTTACATATAAATATTAGGTTTTGATTTTACCCATAAAGTGGAAGATTTGTATGAAAATTTTAAAATATAAAAATTTTGGTTATGTTTTTATTTTAGCAAGTCAAAGTGTGACTGCATGAATGACGTAGTGGTTTAAGCGGTCACCTCGCCGTTTCCTGCTACGGTTGTGTTACTGATGTGGGTTCGATCCCAACATGGACAACACTTAGTGTGCTCCACACATTATTGTTCTGAGTCTAGGTGGTCTTTGTGTCCGTTTCATGACTGTTTTTAACATCCCTCCCGACACAGGAAACATTCCAGGTGCGGGAGTTGTCTTTAAAAAAAAAAAGGTACTGGCCTAAATTATTCATACAATTTTGCCATTTTGATGGCAGTTGGTTTGTCCCTTTATTGTCTTTAAGTCTGCTGTATGGGAGGCGATGAAGTCACCGATAGCAGTTTGTACTGCGGGTGTAGATTTTTTCCCAGTTGTAACTCTTGTAGCTTTGCGATGGTCTGTCGTGAGTTTGAGCTCGCGCGCTATCGTGAAGAAGCAATAAGGAAGAAGCGATTGTTGTGACCAGTCGTAATTGTTGAATTGCGAGCTTCTCCATCATTGTTTTCAATTCTTGGCAATAGACATCTGCCGTCACTGTTGTGCTATTCGGTAAGAAGCTGTGATGTACAAGTCCGGCACTGGTTCACCAGACACTTACCATCATCTTCCTATGGGTAACCTTTTTTTTCAATGCACTGATTAGGTGCTGTATTCGCGTCCACCCACGGATACGAACGCTTATGGTTGTCCATCTATCCACTTTTCGTAGCAGGTAACAACTCGATTTAGAATTCCCTCGTTTCTATGCCGATTCAGTAGTGCTATGCATGCTTCGACGCATAAGTCGCGCTGATGGTCGGTTAGTTCATGTGGCCCCCACTTTCTAGTTTTTAATCTCTCCGATTTGACGATAGTGCTTGAATGTTGTTTAGACAATAACTCCAAAGCCCGCAGCAAGCTCAGCCGTAGATTGAGTTGAATCCGTTTCCACTTTCGCCTTCAATTCGTCGTTGGCGACTTTAGTTACCGGCCGACCGCGAGGCCGTGCTTATGCAAGCAATGTTAGGCCCATACACGTCGTTAATGTTTTGTGTTGTTTACGCAGCGGTATTTTCACATAGGAATTCATATTCGAAAATTATACGAATGTTCAGTTTCTCCATGGCGCCAAAAACTACCACAATTTCATAAAAGCTAAACACTGACTGAATTTTAAATTAAAATAACATGGCTTTCGAATAAAAATTAGTTGATTTTCAAATTGCGTGCCAATTCACAGTTAATTAAATCTGAAAATAATGGTTTCAGAAATTTCCAACTTGATATTAGAAGACCTATTAGATTAGAAAATATATGATATATGATCACAGTATTTGTAAAAAAGATAGCAAATAATTTTCTTAACGTAAAATACATATACAACTTCAACAGGCATGATTGTACGAAATTATTATTATTATTATAGTTAAATTTTATCTCTATAATTCTAAAATCAGTATAATTGTAAATAAGTTTTAATGACATATTGCAGGATCGTCCAAGCCTTGTAATCTATCAGCCGGGCATGGGGAAGTTCAGTAAACAACGCCTAGCTAAGGAGAAAGAAACACAGCCTCCAACTAAATCTATTAGTGATAGTGAAAAGAAAGACACCTGAAATAAATGTCAAACTACCCAAAACTTGGACAACATTCAACGGAATTACCCTAAAGCTGGCATTCAAAACATGTCTTGGCAGACTTGGACGAGGACAATTGAATGTTCCAACTGAAGGAACCACTGTTCGTGTTTATTCAGCTGTTGTTTTTATTGATTTGTTTAGTTTACATACATTACGATACAATTGGAGATGTTTTAACGTAACAAAAATCAACATAGCATATAATGCATCATATTTTTAGCTTGTGACGATTTAATTCAGTTTGTTAATTTCATATAAATATAATTCATTTTTGGAAAATGGGACTCGATTGGGTTTGATTTTATTTACTTATAATTAATTGTAAAAAAAACATTGTAGGCTTTAGCAACAACTTTATTACTTATCACAGTGAAATAACCTTACTTTTCTATATAAATACAAATTATTGTTAAAAAATTATAAACTATATTACCAATATGTTTAAAAATACATCTTTGGTAACGGGAAGAGGTTTTTGCACCTATATATTATATTTAATAGGCGAAAACCTCCTTTATAAGGAAAGGCCTATGTCCAGCAGTGGACTATTAAAGGCTGTTGATGATGATGATGATATTATTATATATAAATCTAACATTCATTTGGATTTCATGTCTGGCGATTCTGTACATATTTTACATTACTGTTGTTGCTCACCGCCTGTACGAACAGTAAAGCTTAGGCGTGTGCGACGTCCTCTTAATATTTTCACTATTCAAATAATAGAGACCTTAGTCTCTTTCTCTATCTCTCTCTCTGAATGTGAAAATGTATTCTATCTTACCGACCAGGCTAACTATATATTATCATTTTTGGTGGTAATTTTTATTTTCTAAAAACCTTTTCATTTTAATTCCGTAACTTATATGTTAAAATTAAAATACCACCAAAAATAGTCAAACCATTTTACGTACATTCAACTTGTATAGGTGAATATTTAACTATCAAAATAGGTGAATTTTATTTGTATAAAGTATCTTGATTTAGAAATATATTAACTTTTGTAATTAATTGCTCTTTTAGTAAAAACAAAACTAAATCACGATTTAATCACATCGATATTGACATTAGAAACTAAGAAAAATGGACAAAAAACCTTAGCTACGATATCAGTATTTGATAAAACAAGAAAACAATCACTCACTAGCTATAGATAGAAAAATCATCGTGATATTTTTTTGCGCTTCCTATAACTTTTCAATCATCCTCAGATCGACGATCGATCACACCGATATCAGTGTCGCACTCAATCATAAATTTAGAAAACAAAATATGAACAGTACAATATTAAAACTAGTCAGCCTTATAAGACTTCAAGTGATTCGTTACAGCTCCCATAAGTTATATATAGGCATAATATACGTATTATATGAATGCTAATAACAGAATTGTTAATCCAAAGGACAGGCGGTTGTTCTTAGACAACAAGACGAGCTTATTGCTGTCTAGACTCCGTTGCTGGGAACTACCCAATTCGACAATTGGACTGAACGAGACATTCGCATGTAAACAAGCGCGAACATGAAAATGGGCTCTAGCTCTCTCTAATATTTAATTGATTACTGTCCTTATTTTCACATAACCTATATATATTAAAATACTTTATTAAAATGACTACCAACCTAAATAACAAAGTTCATTAAGAAGCTCAGCATATAGATCTTTAATATATCAAGACTTGAGAAACTGTAACGGGGCTTTAGAAACTATCATAGATATATGCATATGTATGTTATCAATCAACGATAATTAGGTTGTCTGAGTAATAGGTATATAAAATTTATATTCTATACACATAGGCACTTACGAGTAAACTTAAGTTATTACTTATAGTGGTTTAAAACTTTTCTAGAGGTTACGAGTCGAGTGATCTCTATAGATTTTCTATTGTCCGTGACATACTAGTGTTATTTTCTAAATTAGAATATAGGTAGTATCTGTTCATAAAAAAAATGTTGAGAAAACACTCAGTATAAACTATAAATACATACTAGGGATGGGAACAGTGCTTAAACATGCAGCAATGGCTTTTGTTGTACTTAGCATGTTCTTTTACTGAATTACTTGAATAGGCAAGTACGCATTGTTTTTAAGCGTTACATCAAATTCTGTGGCGCGGAAGACGGAAGATATAAAAAATAAATGTTTTTCAGTTTCAAAATTGCCTTTCAAAAATAATTCTAAGTTCTTAAATACCTATTCGTACTCATTACAAATAACATTCAATTGCACTTTTATTATTTAACCCCACCTCAAAATGCTTCGTCTGTCTGTGGCATAGTAGCTTCTAAACAGAAGGCCTGATTCTGGTTACATATTTTGTGGTTTGAAATATCACGTGATCGAAAATGTTGTAAGCTATAAATAAAAAAAATCGATTCAGCTCTTCGAAGATTATAAGACCTTTTGCAATCATTGGAGAACTTTTCAAGTCTTATTTATACTGGTTAATATTTATCATGCAATTATGTTAAATGTAGGTAAGTATATACTGCGTAATTAGAATTGATACCAAACACAGTGTTATTCGCAACAAAGATCAAAAATAGTGTGTTAAGTCATTAAATGAGACTATGAAGCATTTCTAAGAAGGTTTGCTGTAGCATTCCTGTCCGGATCGTTGGCTGGCGTCGCTTGTTTTAGCTTTTCAGATTTTGTTTTAGTTTGGGCCACATTGTGTCTATGCATCAGATACAGCAACAATATAAAACCAATGAGGAAACCTGCGAGCCCGCCGCTTATTGTCAACCAAGTGCGTCGGGTTGTCTTGACACTTTGTACCTGAAAAGTTACTAAATGCATATTTATTTTTCATTATAACAGGGGGCGTCCAGCGTTTGAAATAAATAACTTTAAAAAAAACTCATAATTATATATAATGTTTGGCATTTTTTATGATTGGGACATAACAATAATATATTAGTTCTTATAAGAACCTTTTAATAAATTTTGCACTCTTTCATATCTTTCACTCAATAACTTTTTCTGCATGCTAGGCGATTTGTTGTATGTGGTCTCACTCACTCGATGAAAAGCTATTTTTATTTGTTATCTTAGAATAAGGTAAGAATTTGGGCCAAAAGATAGTCCGTAGCATTAAAATCATGATGGTGTGGAAATCATGGCATTCATTAAGTTACTTCAGCAGAATTTTTGCCGGAAGCAGACACGCTTTAAGAAAACTAATGAGATACATTAGCAGGTACTGACCAGGCTATACTTTTCACAACGTTACGAAATACACACCTTTCTAAACAATGTTTTTACATTTTTATTTTATTTTACATCTTATGTACATCGGCAAACTTAATGCTCTGGGCTTTCTCTACCAGCCAACCTATTTATAGAAGGATATTTCCACAAAACGGCAAGTAAAAGGACCATATAGAAAATAGTAGAATATTATTTTATCCATACCTGCAAATAGTCTGCTTTGCATCTATTATACGTAGCGTTATGTAATACTAAATCGTTTGATGGACACTTTTCGAACTCTGAAATATAAAGGAATAAGATCATAATAAGGACAATGATTAAACGTATCGTATTAAACGTTTAAGTAATTTATATAAATGTTAAGATACCTCTAGTATTGAGCTTAGAATAATCTTCTAACTGGAAAGATATTCGCTTCTCTTGAAACCAAAGAAATGGAGATCTCATGCTGCATAGCTTCAACTCGTCTGTTGATTCTGTTAGATCAACTTTTTCTAAATTGCACATTGGCGCAAAATGGGATGTGTTCAATGTCGTCAGTGGATTGTATGATATATTGTAATAAACCAACTGCGGAAGGCTACCCCAGTATGGCAACACTTTGATTTTGCAGTCGGAAATGTCCAAGAGCTCTAATGGAGCTTTAATAGGTCTAACTATTGCAAGTTCAGTGCTTGTATAAAGAATAGGATTTCCTCTGAGGTATAATTTCCTCAGAGATGGCAATTGAAGTATGGAGTTAGGCATATTCAATAGGACATTGTTTGAGAGATCCAGTGATTGTAGGTAAGTGAATCCTGTAAAAGCATCTTCATCTATGATGTAGATTCGATTATCGGCCAAATAAAGGTATTTAATGCTTGTGAAACTGGACAACGTATCGGCATGTATCGCTTGCAGTTTATTATCGCTGAAGTCGAGAATCTGTCAGAAAAAAAAATCTAGGTTAGTAGATATTAAACTGATTTCCGTCTCTTAAATATATTATCTCTCTATCCCTAAACTCCTATACTGATGTACATATGTAGGAATGTTATTTAATTTTTGAAAAATTTACGTTAACTCTTTAGATCAGTTTTACACCCCGACACCAGTGCCAATAACTGAATGATTAATAAATTGTACCACTTAGATATTCTATATTATGTTCAATAGGATAAATATAATAATTAGTTAAATTTTAGTCAGGGTTTTCAACTAACGTCTGTGACTTTTTATAAGTTATAGTTATCTAATTTTCTCTTTTTGTGTACCTTGCCCATGTAGGTACTAACTATATCTTCCTACTTACGTCATGCTAAAAATAAATCTATGAAAAGTTCACTAAGTCGAGGAAGTACATTACTTAGGTACTCGTACGTAGACAATATTTTAAAAGTATTTTAATCGTTTTGAAATAATGAATACCTACCTCAAGCCCGCCTCTCAACTTTGGTATTTTCGTAAGACGGAGTCCAGCACAGTGGGCCCCGTACATATCAAATGCATACTCATAAGTGCAATGAGTGGCTTTAGCTCCTAAAGCTTCCATCTCTATCATTTCTTTGGTCCATGTTTTCGGCACAAACAGGATCGATGCTAGAAATAAAATCTTCATCAATCTGGAAAATAAGAAAACGAATTTTCATAAGGAACAATTGTCATGGTGTCGGTATCCAAACCACACCACGTTTGAATAGTTTGGGTCGTAAATGTATTTAATACTACTCCGTAATGTAGATTTAGTACAGAATCGTTAAGTCTCTAGGCATTATATTTTATTAAAGCGGAAGACTGTCCTGGTGCCTCCCTAGGGTATGTATAATTCTCGGGCACGCCGTCATTGCGGCGGTAAGACCCGTTATGGAGGATTGGCTCGAGAGGCGTCACGGGACCCTCTCATACCGATTGACGCAGGTGATCACTGGGAAGGGATGTTTCGGAGATCACCTGTGTCTGATCCGCAAGGAGCCAACGCCTGAGTGCCACCACTGCGATGGCCAGACCGTGGACACGGCTCTCCACACGCTGGCAGAGTGCCCGGCGTGGGTTGAGCAGAGGCGAGACCTCGTGGCGGCCATCGGAGTGGGGAGTTCTCTCGCTCGATAGCCTGATTGCGGCTATCGTGCGGAGCGAGAGTGCGTGGAACTCTGCCGTCTCCTTCTGCGAGCAAGTTATGCTCGCGAAGGAGACGGCGGAGCGGGACCGGGAGAGGTTTAGAACTCTCCCGGCCCGCCAGGCCCGGGCACGGGCCAGGCAGCGCAGGCGACTCAGGCGCCGGAGGTCGCAGAACGACCTTCGTCCTCCATAAGCGCAGGCCTGGGGGTGACAGGTGAGGCCATCTGTCACCCTAGCAGAAGCAGGCCGGGGTGGCGGCGAGCGCGTTGCGAAGCGCGCTCGCTTCCAGGGAGCACAGGGAACATGGGGTTCCCACACGGGGCGGGGGTCGTCTACTCGTCTGTAGATGACCCGAGGTATGTCGGGGCACCAGGGCCTTCCTTTCTAGGGTATACCTGGTTCCCCGGCTATTAGTACCCGGCGAAGGCGTGCGGTTTTAGTCGGTTCGTGTCCGACATGCCACCGACAGGTGGTATCCGAGGGGATTTCCGTACGGAAAAAAAAAAGAAAAAAAAAAAAAAGGGTATGTATAATTCTGAAATATTCTTGATAGGCTAGTACCAAGGGGGCACTTGGTTGATGTGTACATAAACTTACACATATCTGACGAATGAATACCCTGTATGTACCTACATAATTAAGACCATGACAACCAAATACAATGACGAAATAAAATAAAATTCAGCAAATATAATGATGTTAACCAGGTCAACACACAGAAAGTAACCAAAAACGTACATGGTAAGTAATGAAGTTTGGTTTTTGTATATATATATATATATATAATAAGCCTAAATGTAATCGTTTTCAGACAGGACAAGGGAAGATGCCGAGGGTAAATTGGGGTGAGGAACGCAAGAAGCCTATAATAATAGTCCATTCACGTTAAGGAACTTGATTGGTCAGAACGCGGGGTTTGATTGATGCATGACTATTTTCTCGTCTATAAGGTAAGAGGTAGCGTAAGCCTCTCGACTGACACTGTATTAGTCCCGTATGTTGTATAATAATAATAATAATTTTATTTATTTAGACAGAGTCCATAGTGTTAGTGTGCATTTTCTTACCCTATGTTAGTAGACTACAGTAGTACTATTACTATTTGTTGATTATTAAGCTTAGTGGAGTATGGTTCTGACTAGGCTTTTCATTATAATCGAGTCATATTTCTCGGCTATGATTCTTAGAATGCTGTTGTTACTGTCCCGCACTCTTCTTCGCAAGGAGGCAGTACGCTTGCGTATGATAGCATGGACGCCGTCAACTCTCGCTTCCATAAACATGGTAGAAGCACTACAATAAAGGGGCAACCTCAACAGCACTCTAAAGGCATTATTATATTGTACGCGTAATGTATGAAGAGACCTCTGGGTACAGCAAACCCATAGGCTGCTCGTTTAGAAGGTTTGACAATACGCTTTAAATAATGTTATTTTACTTCATCACTACAACGAGCAAACCTACGCGCCAGCATCTTAACCCTACTCGCCATTGCCCTGCGCTCACGTTCAATATCCTTTTGATCGTCAAGAGTTTCCGTAAGGTAGTGACCAAGATATTTAAATTCGTGAACCCTCTTCAGTTCAACCTCATTTAGTTTTAAAGGTGGCACACTTGATGGACAATTACCGCGTGACTTGAACACCATGTAAACACTTTTTTGGCTGTTATAAATTAGGCCATGTCTATTCCCATATTTTTCACAAATGACTAAAAGCCTTCGCAATGCACTGACAGTGGGACTCAGCAGCACCATGTCGTCCGCAAAACTAAAATTGTTCACGCACATATAATGAACTGAACAATCTATTTGGGTGCTGCTTAGTCCATCTATCAACTCATTCACGTACAGATTGAATAGCTTAGGAGAACTTAACCCTCCCTGTCTCACTCCGCACTCCAAGCGGTACGTATCCGAGTAGCCATCTGCCCACTTAACATAATTTGTCTGGTTAGCATACCAGAACTGAAATAAACTCTGAATCTGTGCATGCACGCCTGTTTTTTTGAGCTTTTTGAGCCAAAGCACATCATATGACACCAATTCAAAAGCCTTTGACAGATCCAGAAAGCATGCATACACAGGTGTACCTTTCTCTGTATAGTATTGCAGTGTGCTTGAGACTGAGTACCTATAGCACTTTCCTGGACCTGGACGAAAACCGAACTGCGCGTCATGTATCTTCAGATGTTTACCAAGTTCCGAATCAAGCACACTGTCCAACACTTTAGCCACCACCGTAGCCAGACATATAGGCCTGTAGTTCTATAGAGATATATCCTGTGATTGTAAAATAAACTAGGACAGATACCTACATCAACTGGATAAAGTAATAATGCAGTGTGTAATGTGTGTAGTGTAGTGAATAAATAAATGAAAAACAACAGTGTACCTATCCTTTAAAATTAAAAATAAAGGTGTTAGTTGTGGGTATCTTCTTGTAATTCTGTATTTTCGTATCATTAATGGCTTTTTAAATCAGTCCTTATTTTATACTTAATCTCTATTTTTCAAGGAATTCAACAAATTTGGAGGAATGCCTTTTATCTACACGGATGCTGCAGCTATCTACTATTATGTTGAGAGTTTGTAGCGAGTTTGATTAACACATAGGACAATAAGTAGGTATGTCCCACAGAACAGAGACTATTTTTCTGTGATATGTCCTACCTGTTTGTGGTTCAAACTAAATTGATCCGAGTCAGGGTATACTTTATATCAATAAATGATTGTAAAGTTCCGCGACTCATTGACAGTTCAAGATACAGGTTTCTTGTTTAAAAATAAATATAATGCAGGTAGAAGGTATTTACTTAGATTATTAATAATCTATGTGCATCGTGTGTGGGATTATTAATAATCTAAGGATACTTAGTTGTCGGGCACGCCGTCATCGCAGCGGTAAGACCCGTTATGGAGGATTGGCTCGAGAGGCGTCACGGGACCCTCTCATACCGACTGACGCATGTGATCACTGGGAAAGGATGTTTCGGGGATCACCTGTGTCTGATCCGCAAGGAGCCAACGCCTGAGTGCCACCACTGCGATGGCCAGACCGTGGACACGGCTCTCCACACGCTCGCAGAGTGCCCGGCGTGGGTTGAGCAGAGGCGAGACCTCGTGGCGGCCATCGGAGTAGGAGTTCTCTCGCTCGATAGCCTGATTGCGGCTATCGTGAGGAGCGAGAGTGCGTGGAACTCTGCCGTCTCCTTCTGCGAGCAAGTTAGCTCGCGAAAGAGACGGCGGAGCGGGACCGGGAGAGGTTTAGGACTATCCCGGCCCGCCAGGCCCGGGAACGGGCCTGGTCGCAGAACGACCTCCGTCCTCCATAAGCGCAGGGAACATGGGGTTCCCACACGGGGGGGGGATTGTCTACTCGTCTGTAGATGACCCGAGGTATGTCGGGGCACCAGGGACTTCCTTTCTAGGGTATACCTGGTTCCCCGGCTACTAGTACCCGAGACGGCGTGCGGTTTTAGTCGGTTCGAGTCCGACATGCCACCGACAGGTGGTATCCGAGGTATGGTACTTAGTTGTGTTTACATAATAAGTAAATTCAGAAAGCCATCATCCTACTTAACAGAGAAAACAAATTTTCTTATGCTTACTTTTTGGATATAAAATAAGACGGCTGACGGCTACTGTTTTGTGAAAGGTTTCTGTAAAGTGTTTGAGTAATTTATGAGACTCATAAAATAATTATACTATTAAACATACGATTCAGAAACATTTAAAAAAAATACAAAGGGAATCATACTGTCTGATAAGTAGGCGAGGAGAAGATAATGAACCTACTTCAGTTAACACTTATAACGTGCGATTGAAACAAAAGACTGTAAGGCCCTTTAAAGTTATTGACTCTGTTACCTCCTGCTTATCTATGCAGTGCTGCTACTATAAAATATTTCAAACAATTTACTTTAAATTAAAAAAAAGTGAGCGAATAAAAGTAAAAATTGCCATGAAAAACCAATGTAGGTACAAAGTAGGTAATTAACTAACTAGGTACTTAATAGTTAAAAAAAATAGTGAATAAATAGATATAAAATATTAAATTTTATCTCTTAAGTTTTAGATTCCTTATCTAAGTATGTATATATAAGGCTATGTGAAATGTGTCCTGTATGTTCAGATCTTACTAAATATATATCGCTTTATTATTTTTTATAAATTCCAGTACTAATTTTACAGTCAACTACAGATAGAAACGATGAACGAAACGATTGTACATTTAAATTGTATGGAAGATACCTCTTATTCTATAGAACAGATATGCTTTGTACTTATCTCTCCGAGGTCAAGGGATCAAACTGCAGACAGGACTAGCTACCTATTATCATTTTCCTCGGGGTTATCAGTTCTTACCCTCAGTCAACTGCATCATATCTTAAGCAGAAATCTATGCATATCTACATTCGTAGGTATACACAGTTCCTTTGTGTAGGTACTGCAGTCGTTTATACCTTATTTAGGTATATCTTTAATTTATTTAGTGTTAAGGAA